TGGTGGCACGTGCCTGTAATCTCAGCTACTCAGGAGGCTGAGGCAGGAGAATTGCCTGAACCCAGGAGGCGGAGGTTGTGGTGAGCCGAGATCGCGCCATTGCACTCCAGCCTGGGTAACAAGAGCGAAACTCCATCTCAAAAAAAAAAAAAAAAAAAAAAAAACTGCTCTACTTCCTTTCCTATTCCAAACCAGTAGCATCTTAGTGCTCTTTTGCTTTGGGAATTTTTGCACAGAGCAAGCAGAACTGATTGATATCAAAGGGGCTTTCTGGCTTTTATAAGAGCCAACTTTCATGAAAGAGATGATGCCAGGGGCCCTGAGGATGCGGGAAGAGATGAAAGCATCTTTGAGAGGAGGAAGAAAAGGAGGGAAATGCTGCCCATACAGGCACTGGTTCCAGTGAGAACCCGAGGCTAACCCATTGTGCTGAAACGGTGCCCTGAGTGACACAGCCTCTGAAGCCAGGCCTCAGAGGAATGCCTAAAATTGAGACAAATGTTCGTTTTCATAAAGATTCTGAGCCCTGTATGCAGAGTGGAAATAGCCGAGTCCATAACCAAAACTGGACTAACCGGATGATGGGGATTAGGATGTGAAGGTTCTTAGCAACTACTCAAGTGTGCAACTGATGAGTTTCCCTGATGTTTCACCTAGGACTCTGGCCCCACCTGAGGATGGAATTTCCCTCCATCAGCCTGCATGGAGGCCCAGAGTTAGACTGAAGGTGACATTTTTCACATGAGTTTATCATTCTGTCACAGCACACTGTGAGTAATTGTTGACCAATAGAAAAGACATTTGAGAAAGCAGTGGTTTTCCTCAATATTGGATAGGTGGTTTTAACCAGCTTAAGGGAAAGTACTATTTCCTTAATGAATTTAACATCCTGTAGGAAAAGTTGCTGGATTCACTTGAGGTCCATGTCCATAGTGTGGGACTTTTGCCCACTTCTTCAGCTCAAGGGCATTTTGATACTTCTGTATTGTTGCCATACTGGAATCTTCCATTGCTGGTTCCAGCCCCTCCCCTAAGTAGGAATTCCATTCATTGATTGATGGCTTCTAATTCTACAGTTAGCAGTAGATGCCAACAGTGTTGACTTCTGCCATGTTACAATGCAGCAAGAAGCGCTTTACCAGATACAGACCCTCAACTTCAGACTTCCCAACCTCCAGAACCAAGAGCCAAATAAAGCTCTGTTGTTTATAAATTACCCAATCTATGGTATTCTGTTACAGCAGCACAAAACAGACTAAGAAAATGATTTTTTTTTCTGGTTGTGTAAAATTATACAAGTTTTCAATAGAATGTAGAAATATAATAGAAGGAAAAATCACCTACATTCCTACTACCAGTGGGCTATTAATAGTTTATTGATACCCAGTGTTTTCGTCATGAATGTATTTTTTGTAGTTTTAATCTGTATATTACACATAAATGCTTTACTTTTTACATGTTATACTAATAATTGCACAAATATTGGAATGATCCCTTTTTATACTGAGACAAAAATCCATTGCATAATCATTGAACAATTTATTTGGTAGAATGCTGTCAATACCATTAGTTCAATCCACATAACTAACATCAAATTATTCTTTCTTGGAAATAATTGAGTTCACATTTTTTAAAAAAACTATCATTAAAGGCTATTTAAAAGATAGAAATTTTAATATGTCACATAATTTTGATATATCCATCAATTGACACCAAAATCTTAAAAGCAGAGTAAAGTATTAAATATCATCCCTCTGTTTTTCTAAAAAAAAATTCTGAAAATAGTAATGTTTTTGGTTTGTGGAGTAAAAATCTACATCTGATCATCCTGTACTTTAGTATTCTTTAATATGAAATTAGAGCTCTTAATTTTAGGATCAAACAAATAAGGCTAATTTAAAAAGAAAAAAATTCTCAAGATTCTGAATAAATATCAAACACTGAAGATGTCCTTTGCTTGGTATTATTTGTAGCCAATTCAGGAGGACTTAAAGGCAACATTAGAGAATGGGTTAAGAGATAAAGAAAATGTCATTAGAAGTTCCACCTACTTCCCCTGGAGAGAGTAGAGGTGACAAACACAGACTTTGGATGTAAATTGTCATATTGACTCATAATTTTCCATCTCTATTCTCAATGCTTTATGGTACCTAGTGATCCCCACCTCCTGGTATTCAACCCTACATGGTGTCCCCTCCACTTAAGCATGGGTGGGGCCTGCAATTCACCTCTAACCAGTAAAATACGGGCTGTCGCTCTGTGTTTAGATTACATAAGATTGTCAACAACCACATGAGCATGAAAAGGGATCCTTCCCTAGTTGAGCCTTTACAAGAAACCTTAGTGCTGGATGACATCTGGATTGTAGCCTTGTGACAGACTCAGAAGCAAAGGACCCAGCTGAGCTGTGCCTGGACTTGTAACCCACAGAAATTGTGAAATAATCCACTCGACTTGCTGTAAGTGACTAAGTTTGGGTCGATTTTCCATGCAGAAATGGATCACAAATATACCTGTGTACACAGTGCTTCCCTAATAGTGACTCAGAATAGCTATGAAATGAAGTGCCCGCTCTCACCAGACTTCTTCATACCAACTCTCTATTTCCGCTAGCCTCTTTTATGCCTGAAAATGTCACTTTAAGAAACACTGGTTTGTAGGCTATTATTACTGCCTCAATTTTAGAATTTGTTATTGGTCTGTTCAGGGATCCATCGTCTTCCTGGTTTAGTCTTGGGGGGTATATGTGTCCAGGAATTTATTCATCTCCTCTAGATTTTCTAGTTTATTTGTGTAGAGGTATTTATAGTATTCTCTGATGATAGTTTGTATTTCTGTGAGATCAGTGGTGAAAGACTCGTTATTTTTTATTGTGTCTTTTTGATTATTCTCTCTTCTTTGGATAGTCAAGACCCATCTCACGTACAAAGACACATATAAACTTAAAGTGATGGAGGAATATTTACCAAGCAAATGGAAGGCGAAAAGAAAAGCAGGGGCTGCAATCCTAGTCTCTGATGAAACAGACTTGAAACCAACGAAGATCAAAAACACTAAGAAGGGCATTACATAATGGTAAAGGGATCAATGCAACAAGAAGAGCTACACTATCCAAATATATATGCACCCAATACAGGAGAACCAAGATGCATAAAGCAAGTTCTTAGAGATCTACAAAGAGACTTAGACTGCCACACAATAATAGTGAGAGACTTTAACACCCCACTGTCAATATTGGATCAACAAGACAGAAAATTAACAAGGATCATCAGGACTTGAACTGAGCTCTGGACCAAGTGGACCTAATAGACATCTATAGAACTGTCCACCCCAAATCAATAGAATATGTATTTTTCTCAGTGCCACATAACACATAATCTAAAATTGACCACATAATTGGAAATAAAACACTCTTCAGCAAATACAGACTAACAGCAGTTTCTTAGACCATGGTTCAATCAAATTAGAACTCAGCATGAAGAAACTCACTGAAAACCGCACAACTACATGGAAACTGAACAATCTGTTCCTGTATGACTACTGTGTACATAACAAAATTAAGGCAGAGATAAATAAGTTCTTTGAAACCAATGAAGACAAAGACACAATGTACCAGAATCTCTGGTCCCCACCATGGGGATGACAGGTGGCACTGAGAGGAGCTGGTAGGGAGCTGTGGTCTCGCGTGCCCCTCTGGTCCTGAGCCTGCTCCCTCCTCGCTTCTCCACCCACTGGACTCTCGGCTTAAAGGGCTTGACTTTCAGTCCAACTTCCTGCTCCCCTCTTTGATTGCTCATTCCAGACTCTTAACTTCAGTTAATCTCAGCGCAGAGCTCACAAAACACAAGCCAAGTCCCTTTCCTCGACAGTTCAGTTAAACCTCACTGTTTCCTGAGGGCTTATTACAGAGAAGCCTGGGCTGGGCACAGTGACTCGCGCCTGTAATCCCAGCACTTTGGGAGGCCTAGGTGGGTGGATCACCTGAGGTCAGGAGTTCGAGACCAGCCTGACCATCATTAAATGGCGAACCCCTGTCTCTATTAAAAAATAAAAAAAAACCAGGTGTGGTGGCACATGCCTGTAATCCCAACGATTTGGGAGGCTGAGGCAGGAGAATCCCTTGAACCCAGGAGATGGAGGTTTCAGTGAGCCATGGTCATGCCACTGCACTCATGCCTGGGTGACAGAGCAAGACTCCATCCTCACCCCACAAAAAAAGGTCTGGAATTTTCTAGGAATATTTGCCTTTTGTATTTCCATCAGTGTTACCAGCAATCTCTCAGGAATATCCCACCCCATAGTCCCCAGATTTCATACCCAGTTAGTGATGAGGCTAATTATCCTGATCTCTAGTTTACCTGCCCACCAGCAGACTTAAAGCCCTGTACTGTGGCGTGTACTTTGCTCACTCCGAAATCTTAGGGTTTAACTTCTCTTGCCTTCTAGAAAATGAACCACTTAGTTCCTTCAGTCATTTACTCACTAATAAGTTGTTGAGAGGCTTTGTTTTGCGGAGCATGAAGGATCTGACATAGTAACTTCTACCAGCAATGCTGGTCCTCACAATATATGCAGCTGATTAAAGTTCCTGGTTTACACCACCTACTTCCCTGGTAAGAACTTCATTCCTTCAACCAATACTTTTCATTTGAAAACATGTAATTATGAAAGCTTTCAATCTTTTAGGCGTCTGCATCTTGCAGAATAAATAGGGTTCCAAAGAGCCTATCTTTTCAACAAATCCTTGGTTAGAGCCTGGATGAAACTGTTATTACAAAATCAACTAGAGAGAAAAAAACTCTTCATCTGACACTAGTCTTTCTATTCTGCGAGGTGAAATCCTTTGACCTAGATTCTGTCCCTTGCAAGGCAAAGTGACAGTAGGCGAGCCTAAGAAAAATGGTTAAATCTTGATCTAAAACGTTAAATTCATGAACCACACTGATCTGATTACCCTGAAAACCTACCAGAGAGAAAGTTCTCCCTTTTATCCACCTTCATTGTTACCTTCAGAGCAGCTCTCTCCATAGCAACTGAAAACTTCTCTGGGCTGAAATAATCCTCTCTAGCTCCCAGTGCACAGTCAAAGAATTTTAAAAACAAGGAACTTTGTAACTGTGAAATACTCTCCAAGATTTAAAGGGCTGTGGAGCTCCAGATCAAGAATCGTTTATCTTTCTTCTGAAGGTAAGCACTGGGGTTAGAAATGGTTGCATCATTCTCTGTCACTTTCAAAATGCTAACATAACATCCTAAAAGTGTCTTTGGGTTTTTTTTTTTTTAACTCATAAAAGTAATCCCAATATCTTTGTTGCTAGCCTACAGTCATTTACTAGCTAGCTCATCTCTGGGCCAGGATCAGATGTGAGATGCTGTTAATATTTTACATGCCTTAAGCCATCAACAGAAAGATAATTTTTTTTTTCCCTAGAAAGTTGACTGGCTCTAAAGTCGCCCTCCACTCCTTCAGTCACTACTGAGTGAGTGTGTTTGTCACGTTCTTGAGGTCTTGGAATTCTGTTTTGCTAAGATGCTCCCTACTCTAGAATCTTGACTTTCATTAAACTAAAAAAAAAAAAACAGACCTGTGTTTTTGGAACATTATGATTTTCTTCCAGTACTTTTCCTTGTCTAAAACCTTTTAACATGATGTTGGTGATTCAGTAGAATTTATTTTCTCTTTTTATTTAGGGATGAGGACCACAAATAACTTGGAGTTCTTTATAATGTGATAAATATAAGGTGTTTCCCAACGTGGGTCCTGTAACTTGTACCACCTGCTGGTGAATGAAGAAACTCTTCATTTGTGACGCTATGTTTAGTTTAGGGAGAGGGAATCTAACAAGCTTTTTGGCTGTTGGGCAGTTTGAGAATCTACAGCCATGGTACTTTCCTGCCATTTGGGGTAAAAAATTACCTACAGACCCCCTGCTGTGTAGAAACAGCTTGTCATTGCAAATCAGCTTAGCCACCCAATTAATGAGTCCTTTCAAACATGTTGAAGGCACAATAATGGAAGGCTTTATTTTTCCCCTTTGCCACAGAAATTCCTTTGGTTACAAGTTTACCCTGTCAGCAGCAACACACTCATCTCCATCCAAGGCAGACTCAAGGTGGAGGAAGGTGGAAATGTGCTTCTGGACAAAGCTTTCAGTATCCTGGGTGCCACTGTTTCTTCTACTGGGCCTTGTTTTTTCCACTGAGACAGACAAACCCTCCACCCAAGGCAGCAGAGGTCGTGGGAGCTCAGGCCAATTCGCAGACCTACTGCAGGTTCTCTCTGCTGGTGACCACATACCCCGCAGCCACTCAAGAAGCCTCATCAAAACATTGTTGGAGAAAACTGGGTGTCCACGGAGGAGAAACGGAACGCGAGGAGATTGCAATCTGGTTAGTGACATAGAATGGTGTCAGGTATCAGGACACGTCCAAAAGAAAGCAGTGGATTCTATAAGGGTTCATTTCAGTAAAGCTAAATCACAGGCCAGTCTTCCAGTATGTACTTGGGCAATGCATTCTGGTTAAATAATTTCCATATTTGGGATACAGCAAATCATTCAGCATTCTATTTATAACACCTAGGGCCATTTTTGTTGTTGTACAAGGAATAATGTTTATATAAGGCTTTCTAGAACCTTTCTGTATATTTAGAGGTATTTATTCGGGAGCATGAACTTTTAGTCGTCTTTTCTGATTAATCTTTTTTAAAGCCGTCAGTGCACCTGCATGTGACTAGTTTTAGATGCTATTTGTTTTCTGGAGCACAATAATGGTGATCTGATATTTGTCCAGTGTTAGATTTTTGAGTAGTTTCTCTTGGCATGGCATTTTCTAATATTATGCATAGATCGTAGTTAATGATTAGATAATCATCTTCTTACAGATGAGGAATCTGAGCTGGGGTGACGGGTGCTGTAGGTGGAGCTGAAGTCAGACCCATGGCTCCTGGGGCCTGATTCACAGCCTGATCTTAGGCTACAAAGTCAATCTCAACCCTGACTGGAATCAGCTGAGTAGGTTTCCCAAAATACCCATGTTTGGGCTTCATCCTCTAGAGATTGAGATTTTACTTGCCTAGGACAGAATTTTTTAAAGTATCTCTGGGTCACTTTAATATGCCATCTGTGGTGGCTGAGAATCTTCATTAGGGAGGGTGGGGTAGGATGGTAGGAGGTGAGAGCTCATGTGTTTAAATAACTGCAGAAAAAGATGAGACATACTCCACCATCCCGTTACTTACCCACAGGATTATTTAGGATGAACCCTTAAAAGCATAAATGAAAGCATGCCTATGTAAATAAAACAAAAGTTAATAACTGTCTCCAAAACACGTTTTGGTAGACTTCTCAATCAGGCATAGCTCTGAGGGGGGAGGGGGTTGGGGGAGGGGAACATTTTCTGACTAGGTGTTTTGTTTCTTCCTAACAGAAGATATCTTGATCACAGAGACTTTTTCTCTGCTTTGCGTGAGCAATAAATAATTCAATAATTATTAAAATACCCAATGGTTCCCAGAGGAAATGTGTTATAATAGGCAAGTCATCTGTGATGACATTAATATATATAGAGAGCAACACAAGATGTCCCACTGGAAATAACCAGAAGTCATCTCTTATTCATGTCCTCTGAGGATTCGCTTCAGGGGAATGTTCTCCTTTAATGACGTGAAGTGCCTTATGAAGGCTGGTCCAATATTAGTTTTGCTGGGGAGAAGGTAAATATGCAGAATTGTTCTCCATTTTCAGGGCTGGGGGAAGGATTGTTCTGTATTTATTGTTTTCTGTGACATCATCAGGGGTTTAGCTGCTTTGGTCCCCATTTGAATGGGTTCCATCCCTAGGATTTGAAACACCATCTTGAATAGCTTTACCCTCCTTCTCTAGGAAAGAAACTGAGAAGTTAATCTCAGCTTTACCTGTTCAGAAGGCTTCAGTTCACCTGAATCACCCATCAGGGAGAAGCTTAGGAAATGTGTCCCATCGCTCATGACAAGAGAGAGGAAACGGAGTCCTGTTGATTTCACAAACACCCGGTTATGGCGGAAACCACAGGGCTTCAGCTTAGGGTCTAGTCTATTCTGTCACTGAGGGACTTTGCTGACAGTCAGGGTTCATGCCACAAATTCTGTGGTAAAAACAGAGGTTAAGGGAGCTTGTTCATATCCCTACATGTCTGAAGAAAGAGGGAAGTGGGTATCTTGAATTTGTGGGGAGGAAAACATGCTTCCAGTTTTAGGTCTGTGTAAAAAGTGAATTTTTAAAAAAGCCAATCTGAAGTATCCGAGAGCATTGCACATTTAAAATAAATTCAGTCAAGCTGCAGTCTTTGAAAATGAAGAGTTCTTGGCTGATCCTGGCTTTTTCTTTCTTTAATGAGAGGGGTCAGAATATAGTTTTAATGAACTTCATGAGGGATTAAATAATTCCCAAACAATACATTCCACTTCAGTAATTCTGAGAACCATAGCCCTACACAGGTTTCTGAAAGGAAAAGAGCCCTCTTCTGGCACCTTCTACTGTTGGGACATGAGGAACCTCAGCTTCCTCGCCTGGAAGGCTGAGATAAGGAGCCCCTCCTCGGGGAGATGTGTGAGTAGCACATGGACAAACACGTGTTCCTTGGGGCACAGACCTCTGAGGGTCACATGGACAGATACATGCCTCTGTGGAGGTAGCTGTGAAAAATCACATGGATACATGTGTGCTCCCCAGGAAAATGTCTGCGAGGATCTCATGGACACACATGTTCTCCTTAGGAATCAGATCTCTGAGGACCTCATGGACACACATGCAGAAAGTCAGATATAGGAGCTCAAGTTCCTTCTGTTCCCTGCACCTCACAGCAATGTCTGATTCCTCCTTTTCCAGGGACACTAGAGCAGTGCCATTCCTCAGAATCTCCCACGTGCCTGTGCCTCAGGCCCCGCTCCACTGTCCTAGAGTCTGAGGATTTTAAACCAGTTTCTCCAGGTGATTCTTAGACACCTTCAAGGGAGAGAACTACTGCTTTAAAGGTCTCCATTTAATTCACACGTGGCCCTCGCCACTGACTCATTTGGCATAACTGTCATGGAATAAAGTGTGGAAAACACCTAGCTTTGTCTTATCTATCAATTTTTTCTTAACCCTTCTCAGTTAAAAACTTTGTGTTAGTCAGAAAAGCCACTAAACTAGTATAGACCCTAAAGAGCCAGTACCTGTCATCACCAACATCCTTCCAGCTCTTTGTGAGGAAAAAATGAAATATGCTTTCTCTCTTACATTTATAGTCAATTGTTAGCTACCTCCCCAAAAAAAGACCTTATAGAAACCTAATAAATTGAAAGAGGACAGTCTCTGTCTTTATAAAGAGGACAGTGACTTTTAAGTTCTTAGATTTCTGTAAGATTTACCCATTACTCAAAATTCAATTTTAAACATCTTTCAGTCTAAAACCCCTGAAATTTATCCTGGAGGCCTGACAGCTGTCTTATTAATGTAGGAGAAGACAGCTACCATGCTGCTATTTGTCCACTGAAGCTCTTACCTGGCATAGATTATAAGCAATGCTGTATTTCAAGACTAGGGAGGCCATGTAACGTAGCTGTAGGATGTGGTGGATAATTACTACCAAGTATCCGAGTAGCCTGTTTAGCTTGTAAGGGGAGCCTCTCCTTGAATTTTAATCAGTCTTTTCCCAAAGTTTATTTCCTTATAAAGTCATTAAAACCAATTCTCAGAGTCTACTAGGTTTTTTTCCCCTCCTTAAACCTTATTCCCCAACCTGACAAGATTAAAAGGAAAATCAATGGATTATTCCTGAATGAGTCCATTCTTCTTAAACAAAGAATTGCTTCACCAGAGGGAGCAGCCTTGGACAGATCTTGATGCCTGTGGGGTAGCAGTATTTGCAAAATTTTGCTAAACATCCTCTCCCAAACACAACTGAGCCAGCTTTTAAATCATTAACAACAAAAACAAATCTAGTGCTGATGAACTGAAATTTCCAGCTCTGCCCTCATCCGGCAGCCTCAGTAATGCTTTTTGTCATATCTATGTCCAGGGGAGGAAAATTCTTATTTTAAGTTAGCTTTTCTGAGGCTTTCACATGTATTCTTTCCTCAGGCCACTGCCTTCTGTATTAAAATAAATTAAGATTCAAATATAAAAGGGAGCAAAGTTTCCAGCCCATTGTTATTTGATTCACAGTTAAGCTTTAATTTAGCAGGCCTCAAAATAAAGCAAATGTGAAGCAACACCTGTTTATTCAAGGTTACCGAAATCTCTGTTCAGACCAGAGAAGATACTTCTACGACTGTTTCAAGCTTTCCAAAGCCAGAAACCAATTGTACCTTCCAGGTCGTATGCCTTTTATACATAGTTCTGGAATGCCCACCTGCATGGTTACAGTGAGGACCCTGTTCTCTGCTGTTCTGTGCCATGCATGCCAATTTCAACCCTGGAAAGGTACATGGCAAAGACACTGAGGAAGAGTGATGCTTGGACAGGAGTCTCAGCATCTCAGATGGGTTGAAAGGTGGCTACACGCTCTGCCATGTGCTCATCCCCCAAGCCCTGCCACATGTGTGTGGCAGGCCTCATGAATGTCCTGCTTCTTACATCACAGGCACTCTTCTTTCTACCTACCCAGCCCCATCAAGCAACCTGAGTAGCACTTGAAAGTGTAACATAAACTCATTCAGTGCTCTGGTTGTACCATGTTCTTATTCTGATGGATGTTAGATTTGGACCAATCTCTTAGCCATCTAAGTGACATCTTGTCTCATCAAATGGAAGGGAGAGAAAATTACTGGTTGAAGGGGTTACCCATCAGGTATGTCGGTGGGTCCACAGCCTGTGTTCTCCATGGCACAAAAGAAATCAAAGAATGAGACCTATTCTTGGAAGAGCAGAATTGAGACTAGCAACGCTCACCGCCATTAGCTGTGTGGCTTTGGGCAAGATTCTTACTCACTTTAGTCTTGGTTTTCACATATTCTATGAGTAAACTTTTCTCATGAAGAAAGATGTAATTCATGTATTCTTTGTAGTACCCTTGAATACTGTACCTAATTTATCCATTAATCCATGGTGCATTAAATAATTGAGTAATTGATCTTCTAATGGCTTTATGTTATATAACGAAAATATTTAGAAATAGTTGGTAGATTATTACATAGGCTGGAAACATTTTGTTTTTTACTCTTAATAGGGTCCTTACTATCAAAGAATTGATGATTTTATGCATTTTTCAGAACCAATTATACACCAAGGAATAACTGAATGCAAAGTTACTCTGCACTTTGCTGGGCATATGGCTACCTACAAATTGTAGCTAATAATACCAATAGTTTGGTTTCAGGAGCTCATTTGGTACAAATAATGGCTTTATTACTCTTTTGTTTCAACAGATTCACCTTTTGGGTCTTGCCTTGCCATCAGCTACCAAGATGTGGACTTTTTTTTTTTTTTGGCAGCTATTTAATTTTTTTTTTATTGCATTTTAGGTTTTGGGGTACATGTGAAGAACAAGCAAGATTGTTGCATAGGTACACACATGGCAGTGTGGTTTTCGGCCTTCCGTCCCCTCGCCTGTATCTGTCATTTCTCCCCATGCTATCTCTTCCCACCTCCCCACCCCCCATCCCTCCCCCATTTCCCCCCAATGGATCCCAGTGTGTAGTGCTCCCCTCCCTGTGTCCATGTGTTCTCATTGTTCAACACCCACCTATGAGTGAGAATATGTGGTGTTTGATTTTCTGCTCTTGTGTCAGTTTGCTGAGAATAAGATGTGGACTCTTCTTCTGGGCTACTTAGGGAGCAGAGAAGGGTTGCTGAGGTTTTAGAGGTGGAGCCTAATGTCTATATTGAGAGTTGGTCTTGGTGGAACCCCTGGGTTCTTGACGCCCTGTAGTTGGGGTCAGAAGGGGATTAAATCTGTACGGTTTTATGGAGAATGTGATTATGCTTTGATTTGGAGATAGATGACATTTGTTTCTTTCTGACTCAGATGATTATATCGCAGATGCTACACAGTGGGTTATACAGCAGACCTGGAATTAGAGCCCCCAAAACTTCCACTTCAAAGAAGACTAGATTAAAAGATGTTGTAGTACAATATCCCCACCATGGGACAAATCTGTCTGGGACTCAGGACAGGAATTTCTCAATGCTTTCACTCTGAGGCTGTGTCCTCTGGCTGCTTCTCATGTTTTATGAGAATTCTTAGGAGCTTCCCAACTGCCTCCAAGGAAAGGTAGCTTCCCTCTTCCTGAGAAAGCTTCCAGTCCACAATTCCTGTGTCTGTTTTCTCACTGTCCCACAGCATTTATCCAAATTCCTTATGTCACGTAAATGTCTCAGATTAATGGTGCTGGGCATGTACTTGTGGTTTGTAAAACAAATAAGGCATCACAGTGTAGGGTAAGAAAGACTCTTCCTCTAACATTTTAAATTCTGCAGCTGGGGCTTGTGAACTAAATGGACAAAAGATAGATTAACGAGAAAAAGCATACAAATTTTATTTGATGTTAATATTTTTATGTAGCATAGGGACATCGTAGAAAAAGTGAAAACCCCAAAGAAGGAGGGGCTTATATACCATTTTAACAAAGAGTAATAAATTGTGGGGATGTGACAAGAGTTTAAAAAAAAAGGGAGTTTGGACTAGAGATGGTAAATTGTTAGAAAGTGACTAGGAAATTTACATGGAAAACCAAAATAATTTTTAAAACAATTATACCAATGGAGAATTATTTTAGTAAGGTTTATTTGTATAGGTTCATCTCAGCATTAACTCCCCCTTTCCAGTGATAACAATGTTCTCCTCTTGCTGATACAGCAAGGAATCCTTTCTCATGGGAAACATATGTCCTGCTTTTAGATAGTAAGGGGAAGGGCAGAGAATCCTTCCTGTACCTGCTGTTTCTCGGTTGCCTTCAGCTCAAAATAAAGAATATGCCACAGTGGCATATTTTGGGGTAGTATGTTCCAATTCCCTTCAACAAAATCGTTTTTAGCAATTTCCCTAAATAGGATAGAAGAGGGGCAGATGGACGTCATTCGTTAAATTTTTATAACTCTTAAGTGCCAGATATTGTGCCGTATGCTGAGGATAGAACTGTGTGCCAAGGAGATGAAGTCTACCCTTAATGGACCACTGGTTGTCATAGAGAAGAGAGAAAATAAACAAGTAAACAAAGCAATTTTAGAGTATGAGTGCTATGAAGAAATTTTGTTTCATGGTGCATTCCAGAATTGTGCTGTCCAGCAGAGTAACCACTAGCCTGCATGTAGCTGTTGGACACTTGATACGTGGCTCATCCAAATTTAGATGTGCTGCTAAGTGTAAAATGGACACCAGTTTTAAAAGACTTTGTTCAACAAGAAAAACACAAAATATCTTAATTCAAAAAAATTTTGATTACGTGCTGAAATAATTTAATCTTGGATATATAAGGTTAAAATATTTACAAAAGTTATTTTCAGCTGTTTCTTTTTACTTTTTATAACCTTGCTACTAAAGAACTTCAAAGGATATATGGGGCTCATATTTGCAGCTTGCCTTGTATGTCTATCAGATAGCTCTGTACTAGGGAACACAGGCTGGGAATCTTTAGGAAGGCATCATGAGAGGGTGATATTTTAAGCTGAAACCTGACAAATGAGGGGAACAAGGAGACCTGGAACATCATGGGAAAGAACTTGGTGAAGTTGACGTAAGATTACAGGGCAGGAGTTTAATGAAATGCTGGACCAAGGCTAGGAGAAAGGAGGGTAGAGTAGACAGGAGCCAAACCAAAGAGAAGATTGCAAGGAGTTTGGATTTTGTTCTCAAGGCAAATGGGCATCAATTTAAAAGCCAAAGAATAATCTGTTTTCTACAAGGCGACAGATCAACAACCTGTGGCCACTGTAATTGTAGAGAGGAAATTACCCTTAGTGGAAAGAAAGGGTCCCTAGAAGGGCATCATTGTTACATAGGAGTCCAACTCTCTGAATCTAGCTATTGGACCTGCCCGTTTTTCCTTTTCGTTTATAAAATGATAAGCATTGAAGACCCAGGTGGTCGTTAGTGTTCTGGAACTATTTGTTAATCTTTGTTTCTTTTGCTGCTGCTGTTGTTACTGTTTTCTTCCGCAGTGCTTTGAACCGGATGCACTGTTACTAATAGCTGGAGGAAATTCTGAAGATCAGCTTAGAGAAGAAGTGGTCCAGAGAGTTTCTCTTCTCCTTCTCTATTACATTATTCACCAGGAAGAGATCTGTTCTTCAAAGCTCAACATGAGTAATAAAGACTATAAATTTTACCTACATAGTCTACTGAGCCTCAGGCAGGATGAAGACTCCTCTTTCCTTTCACAGAATGAAACAGAAGATATCTTGGCTTTCACCAGGAAGTACTTTGACACTTCTCAAAGCCAGGTAAGAAGGCAAAATTACGAACTGGCTCCGCTACTAAGATGCAGTCTTAGTGCCTTATTTTTTGTTCCTTATTTATTTCTAAGACATTCAAGGACTTCTAAGGGAGGTACATATTTGTGGTTTTTGGTTATGAGATGTTAAATGACAAAATTTAAAATTCTGAGTCCAAAAGAGGAAGTGTAATGACTAATTGGAAGAGGAGTTTTCGCCAGAAGTTGGGTGGGTGGGTAGGCAGTCCAGGTGACAGGGCAGTTTTCTTCTCCTGGGTCCTTCTGAGCACTTGAGTCAGTGTGACCCAGGGCTTTCTGACCGGTCTCCAGGGACTGAGCTGTAGTGGTGGTGAGCAGGGTGTCTATTTGCTTTGCCTCCTGGCTGGGAAAGGAGAAGGCAGAGACATTTTGAAAGAGATGAATTACCATTAGTTATTTCACTGAAGAGGCAGCTTGCAAAAAGCATTACTCATGGTTGCCAGCCCTAGATGATATCCCTTTGTGGCTTTTGATTTGTGCTGCCTGTGTAGAGGATCTGTTCAAATGCGTTTTCTCTCTCCCAGCTCCCACGTGGTCTCTGTTGCCTTTATTACTATTCTAGCAAAACTGGCCTTTCAGTTAGGTTTTCGTTTTCTGGTTTGCAGTGGGAAATCTCAGCAGATGAAGTTCTCTGAACATTAGGTTTATTTAAGCCACAGTTTTTTTTTTTTTTCAATTATTGAGAAGCCATTATTACATTTTGAAGAGTGTGGGGAAGTCACTTTTTTCCTGAATTATTCATAAACATGTATAGACAGATTTAGTTCTTGCTCTCAATTCTGGCATTCTGCAGCTTAACAACTAGCAAACATATCCTCCAATTTGCTGTAAATATGTTTAATTTCTTTTATTGGTAAAGCAAGTGGAGAAGCTCTTTGCTAAGGACTTTGTGAATATCACATCCATAGCTCTAATCCTGTTAATTTCAAAGTTCGGCCATAATTCCTATTTTCACTTCAGGAAAAGGGGTTCCTAGGCCCATCCCAGCAGATCATATCTATAATCCCAATACTTTGCAGGGCTGAGGCAAGAGGATCACTTGAGGCCAGGAGTTTGAGATCAGTATGGGCAACATAGAAAGACCTTGTCTCTATAAAAATAGAATTTATAAAACTAGCTGGATGTGGTGGCATGAGCTGGTAGTCCCAGCTACTCAGGAGGCTGAGGTATGAGGATTGCTTGTGCCCAGGAGTTTGAGGTTACAATGAGCTATTATGCTGTCATTACACTCTAGCTTGGGCAATAATATGAGACCGTATTTCTAAAAGAAAAAAAAGAAAAGAAAAAGGGGTTCCTTTACAGAACTGTTTTCTACTTAAACCAAGAGATGTGCCTACATATAATTTCTTCTGTGCAACATCTATATAATCCAAATTTGATTCAAATTGGCTGCTAAGATTTTTTGTTTGTTTGTTTGAGACTGAGTCGTGCTTTGTTGCCAGGCTAGAGTGCAGTGGTGCAATCTCAGCCCACTGTAACCGCCACCTCCCATGTTCAAGTGATTCTCCTGCCTCAGCTTCCTGAGTAGCTGGGACTAGAGGGGCACGCCACCACACCTGGCTAATTTTTGTATTTTTATACAGACAAGGTTTCACCATGTTGGCCAGGATGGTCTCGATCTCCTGACCTTGAGATCCACCTGCCTTGGCCTCCCAAAGTGCTGGGATTACAGGTGTGAGCTGCCGTACCCAGCCGGCTGCTAAGATTTTAATCCTACTCATTATGGCCTTTTGATGGAGATGAAATGGAAACTCAGCACTTAAAAGCAGATTGTGTGGGGTGTATGTCCATGTTTCTGGTTATCCTACACATACTGCAAATACTCAGGCTTCTGAGTGTTTCTGAGATAAAACAGCCCCAGAACAGAACAAATCAGTATTGTGTCTAGAACTCCGTTATCCAACTAGTTTCAGTCATTAACAGTTGAACACCTGCAGAGTCATAACCCTTTGCTAGGCCTCAGACCAGTGAACACCTGGATGACACCACTGTCTTTAGTTCCTGGGAAGGATCCGTGAGCTCATTCAATGATTCTAGGATTCTGTAGGATATCAATCCGTCCAGACTTTGCAGGAGGCTTTTGGGACTTCACCACGTCAGCTGTTCTTTCTGACTAGATGGTGTGAGGTCAGGGGGAGTTCTGGCTCACCAAGCCAATCATTACTTGAATTTCCAGCTCTTTGTCTGCACAGGACCCAGCTTCCACAGATCAAGTCACTAATGGCTGCTCTGAGCGGACCTCAACCAGCTCCCCAAGAGAATCAGCTTGATACCCTAATCCAGGCAAGCTCCCTGACGGCCCAGAAAGAAATATCTCTCCATTCCTTCTTTCTTGTCCAAACCTCTCTGTGTTTTATCTTCCTGATTCAATCTCTCAATGTTTCCACCTCTTTAATTTTCTCCACTGTTGGCTGATTCCATGGTAAATGAACAGGGATCTCTCCGTAGTATTCCCCTAGCCCTGCCTACTGCATGGTGGCTGGTGTTCCTGACCCCACCCAAAGGACTTCAGGGATGGGAACAGTGGTTGGAATTCTCCTTTATCCACAATGGTGTTTTGAGACCATTATTGTTTCACAGCCTGCATGAAAGACTCATGCTTCTATCAGCTTCAAACTCTATTTCAACTTGTTCTTTTTACCCATGGATCTTGTGGCTACTCCTCCAAATTTATCAAAATTTTGGTAATTGACTCTTAGCCTTCCACTCTGCTCTGGACCACGGTTATAAATACGCTCCTGCCAAACTCTTCAAATACAGACTTAAGAAAAAATAAGTTCAATGGGCACTTTTCCTCCTCATCCTAAGTCATTAGAATGCAACCTTGACACCATAACCTTCCCTTGATCTCTCTTGATGAATTTGTTTTCTCCTTCGCTTCATATGAAATGGGCTTAGGACAGTGCCTGACATATGGTGAGTACTCAAATGTCCAAATGGGATTATGAACAGGATATAAGGCAAAATGAGAGCTTTTCAGATGCTTATAATTTAATTGAGGAAAATTGGTATACACTTTAGAAAAAGGTCCTGTGTCTTCTGGGAGTTCACAGAACACAGTCAGCGTGCTAGGTTTGGTGTGCAATGAGCAGACATTGAGCTTGGGACTAAGGGTAGATGAGACGTAGAGAACCCTGTGAGGGCGCAAGGCAGCAGAGCCTGTGTGAAGTCAGGGCAGGGACTGTCAGCTTGAAAATCAGTCTCCTGCAAGCTGTACTTAAAGTGGGCAGAGAAACAACCCACCAGTTTTAAAGGTGTTAAACAATAAGAGCAGGAGGTCCCCTTGGAGAAAACACATCTTTAAGAGGATAGTGAGGCCGGGTGTGGTGGCTCACGCCTGTAATCCCAGCACTTTGCGACACAGAGGTGGGTGGATCACCTGAGGTCAGGAGTTTGAAACCAGCCTGATCAACATGGTGAAACCCCGTGTCTACTAAAAATACCAAAATTAGCCAGTCGTGGTAGTGCACGCCTGTAATCCCAGCTACTTTGGAGGCTGAGGCAGGAGAATCACTTGAACCCAGGAGGCAGATGTTGCAGTGAGCCGAGATCATGCCACTACACTCCAGCCTTGGCAACAAGAGTGAAACTCCATAAAAAAAAAAAGGCCCGGGAAGGGTGGGAGAGATAGTGAGAAACGCTGGATAAATAAGGACCAATGGGATGAGGGTTAGAAAATTCAGTGCTATCGTAGATAAACCATTTCCAAATAGAGTTGTATCTGAGACAGGAGAAAGATGATCGTCATATTTCTCCAAATGATTCAATTTTCTTTTAGGCAAACTATTTTTTATCTTTTGGGGGAAATTCCAGTGGTGTTTGAATCAAAATAACTTCAGAAGTTACAATTTTCTCTTTGTTTTGTATCTGATTTCAGTGTATGGAAACTAAAACACTGCAGAAAAAATCTGGAATCGTGAGCAGCGAAGGTGCTAATGAAAATACGCTGCCTCAGTTGGCAGCCAGCATCATTACTTTGTCCCTCCAGGGCGTCTGTCTGGGACAGGGGAACTTGCCTTCCCCAGACTACTTCACAGAGTACATATTCAGTTCGTTGAATCATACGAATACCCTCCACCTATCAGGTAAGGATGTTTTCACGAATTTAACTTTGAAGTCATACCTACTAAATAAACCCTGCCGAAAGCAAAGACTGAAGCTCTTGATGACTGAATTCATTCAGGTATGTTTTAAATACCATTTTTATTGAGTCATGAAGTCAGACAGCTTCGGTGGCCTTTCAAGGCAAGCGTGCTATGAAGGCTATGTGGTGATGAGGCAAAAACATGGATTTGGTCTATTTCTAAGCGATTGGAATTGTGGATGTAGAGGGAGGAAGAGATTTTACAATCTTCCTTAAATAGTCACTGAATAGTTTCTTATTTGGGACGTAATGCTGGGCCAGGCCTAACAGACTGTCTTGTAGAATGGAGGAATCGTGTTCCAAATTGTGCAAGATATTTGGCAGCAGTTTCCTTGAAATCGTAAAAGTCATTTCATTTCAAATAGAAGTAACATGAAATAGCCATCCTGTTGCATTCCTGACTTCCTGCTTTTTGGGTCTCCAGGATGAAATGGGATGTCAGAACTGGAATTAGAAGGTTTGTTTTGCACCTTTCTTTGTACTTGACAAGACGTTAAAAATGAAATGACTAATTATTAAACTATACATCAAAATGCCCCTGAGATGGATTTTTGCTGTTGTTTTTAGAGACAGGGTCTCATTCTGTTGCCCAGGCTCCAGTGCAGTGGTGGGATCATAGTTAACTGTAACCTCCAACTTCTGAGCCTAAGCAAGCCTCCTGCTTCAGCCTCCTAAGTAGCTGAAACTACACGTGTGTGTCACCATGCCCAGCTAATTTTCTTATTTTTTGTAGAGACCGGAGTCACACTATGTTGCCCAGGCTGGTCTCTGAATCCTGGCCTCAAGTGATCTGCCTCCTAAAGTGCTGGAATTACAGGAGTGTGCTACTGTGCCCAGCTGGATCTTTTTTTTTAAAGTGCGTCATTATCAGTATCATGAGTAAAAAATTGATTACTATTCCCTACTATGATAAAAAATTCAGGCAAGGTGCCATGGCTTACGCTTGTAATCTCAGCGCTCTGAGAGGCTGAAGTGGGTGATCACTTGAGATCAAAAGTTCGAGACCAGCCTGGCCAACATGGTGAAAGCCCGTCTCTACTAAAAATACAAAAAAATTTAGCCTGGCATGGTGGCACGTGCTGGTAGTCCCAGCTACTCGAGAGGCTGAGGCAGGAGAATTGCTTGAACCCAGGAGGCAGAGGTTGTGGTGAGTCGAGATGGTACCACTGTACTCCAGGCTGGGAGACAGAGTGAGATTCCATCTCAAAAAAAAAAAAAAATTCAGTCAGTGTTTATGTTTTTATAATTTTTTTAAAAAATATTTTTTGATTGAATCAAGATCAAAATAAAGTTCAAAAAATGTAAATTGTTGGTATGTCCCTTAAGTTTCCTTTATACCTGTCACACTTCTTCCACCTTCTCTATTTTGTTGCAAGTTTTTTTTTGTTGAAAACAAGGGGGTTGTTTTGCATCTGGAATTTGCTGATTGCATTTCTGGTCATCTGTCATGCATTTCTGTGCACTGTGTTTCATGTTTAGGGGTTGTTATATATAGAGGCTTGATAGGGTTGCTTATCGGTTTTATAGTTAGTACCTTCCATTAGGAAGCATATAACACCTGGTCATCTCTTTTTCAGAAGTTGTAAGTAATTGATGATAGTTGCCTAGATTGATTGATTATTTCGGGCTTATAAAATGGTGATCTTCTGACTCTCATTTCTTTCTTACTAGTGTAATAATCCTATAATAGAAAAACTTCCTCTCCTTACCACTTATCTTACTGAGGTTCTTAAGGGAACGTAAGAATGAATTATTTACACTCTAATTTGCTGGTCTTTAAAATAATAACACAGTGGCCATACATCCTTCAAAAGAGAAAGATTTGCTTTTAAAAATATTTATAGATTTTCAGCATTTCTTGTTATGTTTATACCTATGCCTTTAACATTCTTTTTGACTCTCTTAAATGAGGTCCTCTTTCATTGTATCTTCTAGTTGATCTTTGTGTTTGTGTGTGTGTGTGTGTGTGTATACATATATATATGTTTCTAATTTTTAAAGGTTAATTTTATAACCTGCTTCATGATTATCCTTATATTGATTTTTAGGGGTTTCAGATATATAATCATATTATCTCTAAATAGTTTTGCCTATTAATATCTATTTGCCTATTAATATTAATATCTATTATTTTATTTAAATTAATAAATTAATAATTAAATTAATTAATAAATTAATTTAAATAAAATAATCATACTTTTATTTACTTTCTCATCTAATTGCATTGGTTAATAACCCTAATAAAATATTAAATAGTAGTGGAGGTGATCTGCATCCTTATTATGTTTCTGACTTTGAAAGAGAAGCCTATTTTCTCATTAAGTTTAGAGAACAAATGAGAAAAAAATATATTTACCGAGACTTTTATATTAATCCACATTTTCACATCTTCAGTGCTAGTCATTTCTTGGAGCGGACTTGAACAAAATGGGAACTTTACCCAAGTAGTAAATTTGGGTCACTTCTTTTCAGCCTAAAAAACTTCATTTTGTATTTCTTACAAGGCAGGTCTGCTAACAGTAAATTCTCTCATTCATTGTTTACCTGAGAATGGCTTTTTTTAAAACCCTCAATTTGAAGGATTATTTTGCTGGATATAAAATTCTTTTTTTTTTTTTTTTTTTTTTTTGAGACGGAGTTTCGCTCTTGTTACCCAGGCTGGAGTGCAATGGCGCGATCTCGGCTCACCGCAACCTCCGCCTCCTGGGTTCAGGCAATTCTCCTGCCTCAGCGTCCTGAGTAGCTGGGATTACAGGCACGCGCCACCATGCTCAGCTAATTTTTTGCACCATTAGTAGAGACGGGGTTTCACCATGTTAACCAGGATGGTCTCGATCTCTTGACCTCGTGATCCACCCGCCTCGGCCTCCCAAAGTGCTGGGATTACAGGCTTGAGCCACCGCGCCCGGCCGGATATAAAATTCTTGATCTTTTTTTTTCATTTTACTTTTTTCCAATGTTTGTGGGTACATAGCAGATGTATACATTTATGGGGTACATGAAGTGTAATGTTTTGCTACAGGCATGCAATGTGTAATAATGACGTTATAGAGAACAGAGTATCCATCCCTTTGAGCATTTATCCTTTGTGTTACAAATAGTCCAATTATATTCTTAGTTATTTTAATAGTCAAGTAAGTTATTGATTATAGTCACCCTGTTGTGCTATGAAATAATAGGTCTTACTCATTCTGTCTAATTAGTTTTGTTATACCCATTAACTGCCCCCCTCCCCCCAATACATTCTCTAACCATTAGAAACCATCCTTTTATTCTCTATGTCCCTGAGTTCGATTGTTTTTTTTTTTTTTAGATTCCGCAAATAAGTAAGAACATGAAATGTTTGTCTTTCTTGTTATTGATTTCTAGTTTTATTCCATTGTCGTCAGAGAAGATGCTTGATATTATTTTAATTTTTTAAAAATATTTTGAGACTTGTTTTGTGAACTAATGTATGATGTGTTCTTGAGAATGACCCATGTGCTGAAGAAAAGAATGTGTGTTCTGCAGCTGTTGGATGACATGTTCTGTAAATATCTATTAGATCCATTTGGTCTTACAGTGCAGATTAAGTTCAATGTTACTTTGTTGATTTTCTGTCTGGAAGATCTGTCTAATGCTGACAGTTGGGTGTTAAAGTCTCTTGCTGGATTGTGGCCTGTGTCTCTTTTTAGCTCTAATAATATTTGTTTTATCTGTCTGGTTGCTCCAGTGTTGGGTGCATATATTTTCAAAATTATTAAGTACTCTTGCTAGATTGATACCTTTATCATTACATAGTGACTTTTGCCCCTTCTTAGAGTCTTTGTCTTGATATCTATTTTGTCTGATATAAGGATAATGACTTCTGCTTTTTCTTTTTGGCTTCCATTGGCATGGAATACCTTCTCCATTCCCTTTATGTTTAGTCTATGTGTGTCTTTATAGGTGAAGTTTGTTTCTTACAGGCAATAGATCAATTGCTTATTTTTTTTAAAATCCATTCAGCCAGTCTATGTCTTTTGATTGGAGAGTTTAGTCCTTTTACATTTAGTGTTATTATTGATAAGTGAGGACTTATTCCTGCCATTTTGTTTATTTGTTTTCTGGTTATTTTGTGGTCATCATCTTTACATTGCATTAGAAAACAAGGTCTAGAGTGTTTCTAGAATCTTGTCTCCCTTTCATGGCTTTTCTCTCTTTTGCTTATATATTTAAAAGGAGAACAATTTGATTGACTTAACTAAAGTAATAATTAACCTACTAAGAATGTATAATGCCTCAAGGGAATAATTTCTTAAGGATTAGTTCAGTTTCATCTTTAATTTACCTTTTTATAGAAAAAGAATATACTTGACTCCATGGAAGGCATTTTCATTGATGAAAATGTCCATTCTGTCATCTCTAGAGCTTAAAAAAGATGAGAATATCTTTGTAAGGGAATATCTATGCTGTGACAACATGAAATTGTGACTATTCTGAACTTGACCTGTCTATATTCTATGTGACACCAGATTTTATATGAAATTTCTAGAACTAGACCAACTCCTCAACACTCTCTGGACCAGAAGTACCTGTATCAAAAAGGATAAAATCCAGCAACTTCAAAGGAAACAAAACAATGCAATAACCCATGATCAGGACTATTCTAATTTCTCTTCATCTTTGGACAAAGAGTCTGAGGGTGGTCCAGTTTCCTGGGATCAGGTATTGCCATTATTCCTCTTATGCAAGCATTTGCTGTTGTGAAAGGAAGCCCAGCTGTGAAAGTTTTATTAGAGTTGTAGAAAACTGAAAGGATATCGTGTATTGTCTTGAAAAGTAAAAATACTCCAGTTCTCCCATGTAGTTACAGTTTTCTTTTTCTACAAGTCTATCTCTGTAGACATAAAAACAAAGCCAAGTTATTTAGGTGAATGAAATACATGACTTTTCCTCCCTTGAATTCAGACTGAATGCATTAGTACTTAATTCAGAAAACATATATTGAGCATTTTACTGCACACCAGTAGTCATCTTGGGCATGAGAGATACAGTGTTGAACAAAAATAGGCACATATTTTTCCCATTCTATATTTTAAAAGCCAATTTCTGTTACTTCTGCCATGTGTAAAAGGCACCTATTGAAGGTGACCCTTTCAAACTCATGTTTACCATATTCAGCTGCAGGTGACAAGAGTTGATCTTCATATTAATCCACGTGTGTGAAGTCTCCTTAATTCGGGCCAACTCTCAGGAAGAGAACATATAGGGTCTGTTTATGGAGATATGCTTGCGCTTGTGTTCATGTCTCTTTATGGAGACCCGATTTGAACAAAGGATAAAGGTTATGTTTTAAAATTAAAGGGTTACTTAAGACATACATCTTCTAAGAATGCTAATAATCATTTTCTGTGCTGACTATGCAAAATAAACAAAACAGCCTCTTCTCCAGTAATTCTTCTCTGTCCCAACATGTGACTTTCTTTGTGATTCTTGATGGGATCCTAACGTGGGACACCAGATTTGAGGACTCTGCCTGTATTATTTAGATCAATGGTTTTCCAAGGTTGTGCCTGGGCCAGCAGTAGCAGCATCACCTGGGAACTTGTTGGAAATGTACATCCTCAGACCCCAACCCAGAATCTCCTGAATCATAAACCCCAGGAGTGGATCCTAGAAGTTTGTTTTTTAACAAGCCGTGCAAGTGATACTCAAAACTAAAGTTTAGAAACGACTCCTTTTGAATATGTTTGTAAAGCTTCCATAGAAACCTGATGACATCATCACAAGTGCAAGCATATTTCAAAGTTACATATGAAGGAATAAAGATGGTTTAAGTATTAGTGGCTGTGTAATGTATATTTTCATTTTATTCTTTATTAAAAATAGTTGTGTTCAAAATTTTATAGACTATATTGAGTCCCCAGTAAGGACATTTACATTAGTGATTTCAGCAGAAACTTACTTAAAACAATGGCCAGATGGCACAAAAGCAGCAAGCAAAGATGAAGGACACAGAAGTTCGTAATAGAATAAGCAATAACCTTACTCTGTGAGAAGGTATTCTTGTGTGTGTGTGTGTGTGTGTGTGTAGATGTTTTTTTAGACAGAGTCTCGCTGTGTCACCAAGCTGCAGTGCAATGGTGCAATCTCAGCTCATTGCAACCTCCATCTCCCAGGTTCAAGTGATTCTCCTGCTTCAGCCTCCTGAGTAGCTGGGACTACAGGTATGCGCCATCATGCCCAGCTAATTTTTTGTGTTTTTAGTAGAGACAGGGTTTCACCATATTGGCCAGGCTGGCCTGGAACTCTTAACCTCGTGATCCACCTGCCTCAGCCTCCCAAAGTGCTGGGATTACAGGCATGAGCCACTGTGCCCAGCCTGTGGGAAGGTATTCTAAAACTAGAAACTATTCAACTTGGCGACAAACTGGAGCAAGATGGATGGCATTTTGTTCGTGTTTCTCTCTCCATTCCTTCATTTACCAGTCAGGCATTTTCTGATAGGAATTGCATTATGAAACCTTCATCAGAAGTTTGTTGGTAGTTTCCTTTTATTTTCTGTCAATATTATTGATGATGAAATAGACAAGTGGTGTAGAAGAGAATATCGTCTTTGACATGCATTATTTTGATACAGGGAAAAAGACACAAGTTTAGCTTTCCGTGAATGTTTTTGTAGCAGAAACTGCTTGGAGTTCTTGTCCGATCCCTTGCAGAGAAATGCCTTCCTCACCCACAGGCGTGAGTTTGGCACCCACGTTTGAACAGCTTTTTCCATCTCCTACTACTTGGGCAAAACTGATTGAACTAAATGGACACCTGACCCAAGAGAGACCATCTGTGGCTTTGCTGAATCAATTAGCTGCAGCATTCTTGGGTTTTGGAGTGAAAAGTTGGGGCTTATATGACCTGGAGTTTACTAAATGAGAGAGGGCCAAACTGTGAAAGGAAATAGATGGATGTAGAGGGAAAAAGGAAAAAGGAAATACTTGGCTCAGGGAGGGAAAGCGGGGCGGGGCAGGAAGGAGGGTGTGGGCAGAGATCATGCATCTTTGGTTCTGATTTCCCAGCTTCAAGTTGTCATTACTTATGAAGTGTGGGCATTCCTTCAACCCCTGGCTCCTTTGAGACTATCTGTGCCTTTCTAATACATTCTCCTCTTGGTTTTCTTATTTCAGTGTGTTCTGTTCCATGTACTCAAACATTTCCTGATCAAGATTAAACTTTTTATCCCTGACATCATCTCTAAAGATTTTTATTTGGGGAAAAAGACAAACAGCAACTGTGTCATAATTACTTACTGATTAGCTAAGTGCCTTTGTTAAAAATCCCCAAATTCTACAGCATGGCAAGCCAGACCAGGCTTGCAGACCAGTAATTTTTAAAACAATATCTTACAGATCGCAACTAAAGATCACAGAGACGTTGCACTGGAGTCTTATTTCAATAGAAAACATCCATTTGCACTAGCTAAACTACGTGTCATTCTCATTCACCTATTAATACTTTGATTTTTTTTTGTTTGTTTTGTTTGGTTTTTTGTTTGTTTTTGATTTTGAGACGGAGTTTTGCTCTTGTTACCCAGGCTGGAGTGCAATGGCGCGATCTTGGCTCACCGCAACCTCCGCCTCCTGGGTTCAGGCAATTCTCCTGCCTCAGCCTCCTGAGTAGCTGGGATTACAGGCATGCGCCACCATGCCCAGCTAATTTTTTGTATTTTTAGTAGAGACGGGGTTTCACCATGTTGACCAGGATGGTCTCCATCTCTTGACCTCATGATCCACCCGCATCAGCCTCCCAAAGTGCTGGGATTACAGGCTTGAGCCACCGCGCCCGGCTAATACTTTTAAATTGTCATTTTTTATGTGCACAGTGTCAGCCTTTATTCTGAGATGGACAAATGTCTTGTGGCCATTTTTAGAGACTGCCATTTGTTTTTTTTTATTTATTCTTCTCTTTCGTCAATATGCCTATGCAATATGAAAACAAATTGTGAAGATTTAGGTAAAAATCAGCGAAGTCTCATATGATGCTTTCGACTGTCGTGTGTGTGTGTGTGTAGAGAAGGGATATCAATTGCGAGAGGCAGCCATATCACTCGGTGTTTACACAGCAGCTAGTTGACAGAGCTTTACTTTCAAAAATATTACTTGTATAACTTTTGGAAGTACACGTTGCCTGCACAGGCTGATTAAATCAAACAGTGTTAACGACAGTGACCTCATTACCCTAGGACTTCTGTTTGTTGTGTGATATCTTTGCTAACACAAAGCTATCCTCGTTGAAAAGCAACAAAAACACTGAGGCATCCTAAGGCTCCTGGTTAGAGCAACACTGAACATGTTGTAAAACACAATGTGTCTTTCTAGGAAAGAAAAAGTGTACGGCACTGAAACTAAATAATGCTCAGAATAAAAGCAAGGTATTGCAGACTTTGATCAGGGATTTCAAACATCCTTAGGAATTGCATGTAGGGAATTAGGAACGCTTGCAGGGAAACACGTGTCGTACTGGCTTCATTTTGTGTGTTCTAATCATTCCATCTAGCATTCACTCCTCAAGAATGATAACTGGTGGAGAATCTAGTTTAGTGCGGAGATTAGTAACAATGTATGTTTCCTTCATACAGACTTGCTTCTCTGCTAGGCAGCTGGTGGAGATATTTCTACAGAAAGGCCTCTCCTCCATTTCTAAGGAGGACTTTAAGCAAATGAGTCCAGGGATCATCCAGCAACTCCTCAGCTGCTCCTGCCACTTGCCCAAGGACCAACAAGCAAAGCTGCCACCCACCACTCTAGAAAGTAAGTTCTAGATCTTCCTGCAGAGAGCTGGTGTGCACCATGTGTGCAATAATAATAGTAAAAGCAGGATACTTATTATATTCCAGGCCATGTTCTAAACATTTTACATTTACCAACTCATTTAATACTTCTAACAGTGCTACAAGGTAGATGTTATTATCCCCATTTTACAGATGAGGAAACTGAGGCACAGAGAGATTAAGTGACTTTCCCAGGAACACACAGCTGGGAAGTGATGGAGTTGCCATTCAAACCCAGCCACGCTGGACCTGGAGTCCTTGTTTCTAGCCACAATACATCCTACCCTTCAATGAATATTTGCTATATGGTCGATATAAATTAATTGTGTCATCTGTAGTTGACTCAATCATGGATCAACGTAAAAGGCCATAGTTGAGAGGTGGCATGGTATAAGAGAAAGCGGTAGTGTTGGAACCTGGAATGCAGAGCTGAGTCATGCCTTCTTTCCTCAGACACTTTGTGATCTTAAGCCATTTCTCTCCAGGACTGTTTCTTTTCCAGCACAGTGGAAAGCAGTGATATCCTATAGGGCTGCCTGTCTCACATCATGGATGTATGAGAAATGAAAATACATTAAGATAAACCAAAGCACATGGGGTTGCTGTGGAATGAAGGTGACCCATCCAGGGAGATACCAGCCTCCCAGACATAGCTGTCAGCCCCAGGAGGGGAAGAGATCAGTATTTGCAGTTATCTGTATCCCACTGAGTCATTGCAATAGATGAGATCTCTCTGAGGGCTTCACTGGGTACCTGTGAGGTTCAAATGAGATAAGGTATACAAAAATGTGTTCAGTAAATTTAAAGCTCTGTATGTTGAAAAGGCAAAAAAAAAAAAAAAAAAAAAAAAGGTTGTCTGTGAACTATCTATGTTATTTAGTAAAAATATGACCATTAACTTACCATTGATCTGAGGGTCTTAGATATGTTATTTTCTCGGAGCTGTGTTTTTCTCTTTGAGATAGCCGCAGTACCGATCATAGATGAGTTGTTCAGTTACCCATCTCTGACTCGTAATGGATTCTGTAACATCAAGTGGCTTAATTGAAAATGTTACGTGTTCACACAGATGTCTTAGGAAAACAAAACGAAACCACAAAACAAACACAAAAAGAAAATGTTACGTGAACAAAAACATCTCAGGCCTAAATATATACGATTCAGCATTCACTGAGAGGAAAATAACTTCATTAATAGTGAGCAGCTAAATAACTCAGCACCTGGTGATGGTCATTCAGTGAGGCCCAGAAAATGGATGAAGATTGCACTGTGTCAGCTGGAACATCCTTGGACACCTTTATATTCCTACCACCTGGCTCAGGGCTGGAACATACAGGTGGCTCAGAAAAGGGTTTTGAACTTAAGACCTATGAAAAAAGTTGTATCTCCTTTCGAATGAACTTCTAGATGCTTCTGGGGAGTAGTCTTCCTGAGAAACATCCTAACTCACTAAAGAATCTAGAAAGGCCAGGCACAGTGGCTCATGCCTGTAATCCTAGCACTTTGGGAGGCCAAGGCAGGAGGACTGCTTGAGCCCAGAAGTTTGAGAGAAGCCTGAGCAACACAGGGAGACCCCATCTCTACAAACAGAAACGTTATCCAGGCATGGTGGTACATGCCTGCGGTCTCAGATACGTGGGAGGCTGAGGTGGGAGGATTGTTGGAGCCCAACAGTTGGAGGATGCAGGGGGCTGTTGACAGTGCCACTGCCCTCCAGGCGAGTGACAGAGAGAGAGAGCCTGTCTTCAAAACAAGAACCTAGAAAAATATCACTGTCCTCAATCGAAAATGTTGCATTGTGTGAATAGGGAGAAGCTTGTGATTTCAAAAGGTCTTTTGAAATGATAGAAATGTCTGATATTGTATTGAAGGGAGGAGAACTTGAGGAGACATTCTTAAGAAAATACTGTTCAGCATGCGGAAACTCAACCGCTAAGTACCACCTTCAGCTGAGTTTCCAGGAAAGAGTATGATGGCCATGCACAAATTAAGTTTCAGACCTATTGAAAGTAGCTGCTCAGAAGTAGCTAAGAATTTAGTGAATAGGTCAAGCTCTATTGTAATAACCGGAAACCTTAGAACCTGCCTGAAAGTTGCCTGACACCAATCAAGACTTCATGGCACCTAAGCAGGGACCTGGGGTAAATTAGCAGAGTCCTGTGACCACAGGTCAGAGATTTTATGGTTTTGTGGCTGTCCTTCCTACATGAAAGCAAGTGAAATATGACTCACAGAAAATCTAAAAAGGTTTGCTGACCTCTGAAGTTCGGAAACATTCATTTCGCGCATGGTAGGCACCCACAGGGGTGAGGGGTAGCAAAATATCCAAAGAAGTTTCACCTTTGCCTTTTGCCTGGGAACTGTCATACCCTAATTTGTCATTGTGTTTTTCTTTCTTGGCATTTTGTGGTCTTTTACAGTTACCACTTTATTTTATTTATTTATTTATTTATTTTTGAGATGGAGTCTCGCTCTGTCACCCAGGCTGGAGTGCAATGGTGTGGTCTCGGCTCACTGCAACCTCCACCTACTGGGTTCAAGCAATTCTCCTGCCTCAGCCTCCTGAGGAGCTGGGATTACAGGTGCCCGCCACCATGCCCGGCTAATTTTTGTGTTTTTCGTAGAAACGGCATTTCACCATGTTGGCCAGGCTGGTCTCAAACTCCTGACCTCATGAGCCACCCACCTTGGCCTCCCAAAGTGCTGGGATTACAGGTGTGAGCCACCACAACCGGCCTGCAGTTACCTCTTTTAAAATGGGCCAGCTTTAAATTGTGTTAAACATCTAGGTGTCCATGTTAATATTCAAATATCTTTAATTTATGTTTAAATGAAAAGAATGGCATTCCCACATAGAGTCTACTTGGGGAAGAATAGGATATGAAACTTGGCTGAATATTTTCAGGGAAGTTTCTATAACACGGGCATTTTTACTACATTACAAAGATGAAAGAAAAATGATGTAGGTGTCTGATCAATACATACGACATACAATTTGGCATCTTAACCACTTGTATTTGCACAATTTGGTACATTCGCATTGTTGTGCAACAGTAATAGAACATTTTCATCTTGCAAAACTAAAATTCTGTGCCCTTAGAATAACAATTCTTTATTTCACTTGCTTCTAAACCATTTTATAGAGGTTCTACAGCAGTGAAAATGTGGTAGTGGGAGTATGGGAATAAATGCATAAAAGTTTTTCTACCTCTTTTGAGTACACTACCAACCCTATTTTAATCTTAAACCCCTGGGTAATTTAGAACTTATATTTTAGTAAAGGTCCTTTTAATATCACAAGACTATTTTTCTGTTACCAGTTATATTATTGATCTAGGCAGGAGGCAGTGGCTCACACCCGTAATCCCAGCTCTTTGGGTGACCAAGGTGGGTGGATCATTCGAGGTCAGGAGTTCTAAACCAGCTTGGCCAAGATGGCGGAACCCCACCTATGCTAAAAATACAAAACTTATTCAGGCATAGTGGTGGGTGCCTATAGTCCCAGCTACTCAGGAGGCTGAGGGAGAAGAATCATCTGAGCCTGAGAGGTGGAGGTTGCAGCAAGCCGAAATTGTGCCACTGCACTCCAGCTTGGGTGACAGAGAGAAACTCTGTCTCAAAATTAAAATAAAATAAAAGAATTTAAAGTGCGAACCTTTAAGAAAAATGGAAGGATGATGAGAATGAAATATTTTCTACAAACTTTAAGAGGGTAGTTTTTCTTAAAAACTTGCAATGAGCTTTAAGTATTTTGACACCAGGTTTGATTTATTGTATATCTGTCATCACTGAAGAAAATGATAGTTTAATTTTGTAATTAGACTTCCTCATTGTTTACAAACTAGTTTGCTATGACTTTTAGTAATTTCTGAACAGGTAGAGAAATAACCCTTTGCTTTGACTATCTACAGCAGATGAAAATGACGCCAAGCATAACTCCGTATCCCTTTGTCATCTGTACTGAGTCTGAAAGTCATTTCTTCCCTCTTTTAATCTTCCCTCTTCCTTTTCCTCCTTCATTTCTTCTCCCTTCGTATATGTATTTGTTTTGCTTTGGAATAACCCTACAAATTGTCCTTTATGAATATTTTTTAAAAAGAAGCATAGAAACATGACATTCTAAGGGTTATAAAAGTGTTTTTGATCTTTTTTGACTTAGAATACGGCTACAGCACTGTGGCTGTCACCCTTCTTACACTGGGCTCCATGCTGGGGACAGCCCTGGTCCTTTTCCATGGCTGTGAGGAGAACTATAGGCTTATCCTACAGTTGTTCGTGGGCTTGGCCGTCGGTACACTGTCTGGAGATGCTCTGCTACACCTGATCCCTCAGGTAATCTGCTCTTTTCCATTTCAGATAAAGTTTGTTTCATTTCTCTTCACATTTAATTACTGGAGGTATTTATGCAAAATTTTACTGAGACTTCAAACAGAGAATATGGTGGCTGGTGTTTTCCTTTAAAAAGAAATGTTATTTCTCCAAAGCCCCTCTGCCCTTGTAGAAGAAAAGAGATGCTGCAATATTAGGCTCACCACATAGTAGTAGTATTTCTGAAATAAAAGAGAAAAGGTGGTTGGGCATGGTACTTCATGTCTGTAATCCCAGTACTATGGGAGGCTGAGCCGGGCAGATCCCTTGAGCCCAGGAGTTCAAGACCAGCCTAGACAGCATGGTGAAATCCTGTCTCTACTAAAAATACAAAAATTAACTGTGCATGGTGGCATGTACCTGTAGTCTCAGCACTTTGGGAGGCTGAGGTAGGTGGATTACTTGAGGTCAGGAGTTCGAGACCAGTCTGGGCAACATGGTGAAACCTCATCTTTGCTAAGAATTCAAAAATCAGCTGGGTGTGGTGCCGTGTGCCTGCAATCCCAGATATTCAGGAGGCTAAGACAGAAGAATCACTTGAACCCGAGAGGTGAAGATTGCAGTGAGCCAAGATCGTACCACCACACTCCAGCATGGGTGACACAGCAAGACTCTCTCAAAAAAACGTTATCACTCACTTAGTTCACCCAAGACCTGGTTGTTTAAAAGTCCAGAACCTCCCCTTTCTCCCTCTCTTGCTTTCTCTCTCTCGTACCTGCTTCCCCTTCCCTCTCTGCCATGACTGGAAGCTTTCTGAGGCCTGCACCAGAAGCAGATGCCGACACCATGCTTCCTGTACATCCTGCAGAACCATGAGCCCATTAAACCTCTTTTCTTTATAGATTACCCAGCCTCAGATGCTTCTTTGTAGCAACGCAGAAATGGCCTAATTCACTTGCCCTTCTCTCTATTCTTACCCGAAGGCTGCACCTCCTCAGCTACCTTGAAGGTTGGATTTTTGTCTGGGGTCAGCCAACGGAGGGCCCAGTGGAAAACGCAGAGCAGGAGGAGAGAGAGGCAGTGGTGCTCCTGCCCAGCTCCCTCCTGGCTACGGCGTCTGCTCTAGAAGAGGCTGCTCTGCTGCAGGCTCGCCTCCAGTGGACACCTTCTTCTCAGCTCTGCGGCTCACTGACCTTCCTCCCTTTTTTCTTTCACCCCTAAGGGTGGCAGTACTTTCCTGGGATTGACAGTCTCTGGGCGCTTCATTATCCCTTGTTTATGCCCTTGACCCTGCCCATCTCTGTAATAGTCTTATCTTTAATGTTTCCTTATTTCAGCCATCACAGTAGAATTCTCCTTCTTACCTAACAGTGTCTAGATTTCCCGTTCCTAGGAGCAGGTAAGTGCCAGGAGGCTGCCTCCTGTTGAAGTGTACCGAGGCTCATTGTCAGAAAGGAAAGGGCTAAAACCTGAGTTGAGGTCGTCTGCAGATGAGGTTATCTCTTCTCTCTGAAGTCTCTCCCCAGGTATGATGAGAGTGGACCAATGATCCGCTCCCCCGCCCCCCAGCAAAGCCTGAGCTGGTTAAAATTTTCCACAAGCCTCTGGCATTTTCCTGCAGGGTGACTCTTGTTGCTTAGAGGCTCAATTGTTATTCAATTTTCTGAAAATCTCAGAGGGAGCATTGGAGAAATAAAACCATTATGGTTTTTAATTTCCCTCATAATCTAATTTTCTGGAAATATTTCAGGGCTTATGTTTGACTAGAGGGGGTGTCCGAGGCCTTTGTTCTAGGTCACAGCAGTGGTGGCAGAATTGTTTACTGCCCAGGAGCCTGGGAAACAGAAAAAGGCTCTCAGGTCAGCCTGAGTCTCCCGCAGTGGGGGAGCCCACAGCGAGGGTGGACTTGGGGATGGGCGCAACATGTTACAGAGGAGAATTTAAGAGATTAGCTGGGTTTCATGAAATTTTGTAGGCAGATGTTTGCTTAAGAAAAGAGAGGAAGGCTGGGTGCAGTGGTTCCTGCTTGTAATCCCAGCGCTTTGAGAGGCCAAGGCCGGGGGATTACCTGAGGTCAGGAGTTTGAGACCAGCCTGGTCAACATGGCAAAACCCTGTGTTTACTAATTAAGCATGTATAATCTCAGCTACTCTGGAGGCTGAGGCAGGAGAATTGCTTGAACCCTGGAGGTGGAGGTTGCAGTGAGCCGAGATCATGCCACTATACTGGGGGACAGAGCGAGACTCTATCTCAAGGAAAAAAAAAAAAAACAGAGACAAGGATGAAAGTTGATAGAGGAAGAAAAATGCAGAACAAGTGTGGTGGCATGCTAGAAAAATCAGTGATCTGTGGCAAGTTTTCAAAGAAAGGTCTGCACAGAAATGAGAAGAAAATGCTAATAGGATTGCCTTTTTTAGTCAGCCAAATCTGTTCAGTTGAAAGATCTACATTTTATTTTGAGATCTGAGGCTTTTCTTCTGTTTTATTTTATGATATTACAAATGTTCTCTATTTTGTTCAATAATGGTCATTAGAAGTATTAGGTGAGTATCCTTTAATGCCCTTAGCAAAAGTTTACTAACATATATTGGTTTTTAGTGATATTTATGTATACAATGTACATATGTATATACATATGTATACTCACAGATACACATATATATGTATAAACACATAAATGCCTATATACATATATGTATGAATGTATACACATAGAATCTATACACATATGATTTCTTTTTCCTCTTTAAAAATTAATTGTTAACATCCTAAATCTGGAAACCATTTATGATCTAGTTCATAAATTGCCTTCTCTAAGAGAAAGGATATGGTACAGAATGATCTACTGGCTCACAAGAAATCATGACGTTGACCAATGGGATGAGGCAATTACAGTAAAATTCCCAGCACCTTTCTTGTATCGTTTTGTGTCCCAGAGACCTGACAATATTGTTCTTCATACCGTATGCCCTCAATAGAACAAGTCTTCATAGTGGATTTCTTACTTATCCGAGTATTTAATAAAAGTTTACTTTGATTGCAATGGGGCATGAGGAGAATTAACCCCAGATGAAATATAAACTTTATTAATATTTTATGAAGCATTGTTGTACAAATAGATGCAGATTGGATTCCTGAAAAACAATTTGGCCCAAGGACTGAGTTTGTATGAAAATCGAGGGCACTTGTAGAAATAAAGCTTCGGCTTCCTTCTGTTCATGAACACAAGGTAGTCAAAACTCTCCTTTGTTCCCTACTGTGCACATTTATTTGACCCTGATTAAAGTGTATAGTGGAAGTATTCACATACCCAAAAGCAAACTGGGCTTTAGTGATTGTATTAATAGTTGTCATGGCATTTCCTAGAATGAAAACTAAATATATTCAATGCTGGGCCTACTATCTGATAGTTAAGTCATCAAAAGTTGTCTCCTTCCTTTCTTTCTGACTTTTTTTTTTTTTTTTCGCTGAAGGTTCTTGGTTTACATAAGCAGGAAGCCTCAGAATTTGGGCATTTCGATGAAGGCAAAGGTCATATTTGGAAACTGTTGGGATTAATTGGCGGCATCCATGGATTTTTCTTGATAGAAAAATGTTTTATTCTTCTTGTATCACCGAATGACAAGGTATATTTTATTTGTCTTGTGCTTTAGAGTCTTATAATACATTCATCTGTTACTTCAAAAGTACTTGTTCAAAAGTAATGAAGTTGCCTGTGTCAGGGATGTCTAGCGGAGCTCTGATTTCAAGAATACACAGCTTCTTTTAATAGGAGATTAATTTTTTAAAACATCTATTCCTGGGCAGTTAATGTACTTGTTACGAACTTCTGTTTAACCTTCATGGTTGGTATAGGAACTGGGGACTATTTCATGTTTGGGGAAGGAAGAGACCCAACATTCTAGCTATTAATCAGTGTTTTGGATGTCTTTCTTAACCTAAACAAATAAGCAAACAAATACTGAAAAGTCAAAAAAACGCATGTCATTTCTACCTTAAAGGCATTTAAAATTACAAAAACAAGCAGCTTAGGAATTTCGAAATTTGCAGCAAATCTTCTTTTCAGCTTTAGTAATTTCTTGTATTATGCCAGTAGCTGACAAATGTCTACAAATATGGGCCAGGTGCTGTGGCTCACGCCTGTAATCCTAGCATTTTGGGAGGCTGAGGCAGGTGGATCACAAGGTCAGGAGTTCAAGACCTGCCTGGCCAATATGGTGAAACCCTGTCTCTACTGAAAATACAAAAAAACAAAAAAACAAACAAAAAAAAAATTAGCTGGGTGTGGTGGCAGGCACCTGTAGTCCCAGCTACTTGGGAGACTGAGGCAAGAGAATCACTTGAACCCAGGAGGCAGAGGCTGCAGTGAGCCAAGATCATGCCACTACACTCCAGCCTGGGCAACAGAGTGAGACTCTATCTCAAAAAACAAAACAAAACGAAACAGCAGTAATTGTTTATCATTCCTAAATTTGTTCAAAACTTTGTTTTATGCATCAAAAAATAAAATGAATTTATTGATGGATAGGGGGATGATAGATGAATAGATAACATGATAAAAATAGATTTAATAAAATTATCATAGAATCCAGAAAGTGGATATTTGAGTATTTATATTACAATACAATTCTTTCAACTTTTTGTGTATTTGAAATTTTGCAGCTGTAAATAGATGTCATGAATTCAAATAGATGACAAGTCAACTTTTATAAAAGTTTTCTAATAAAGCAGGGCTTTTCTTTGGCCTGGGGCTTGAACTAAGATGCTATGGTAATTTGGAAATTAGGAATGCCAACTTTTGTTATAGTACTTACCCTAAAAGTTTAGACACTTACCTTAAAGAAGTTCTAATCTCATGAAGCATTAAGTAACAAATCCCCACTTATGCCCAATGGATTAACATGTCTGAATTGGGAAAGCTAAATTAGAAAGCCAATATACCAATCTATATATAACTCCATAGTTACAAATCCAGTGTGATAATGAGTGAAAGAAATTTGGGGCCGGGTGCCATGGCTCACATCTGTAATCCCAGCACTTTGGGAGGCCAAGGAGGGTAGATCATCTGAGGTCAGGAGTTCAAGAACAGCTCAGCCAACATGGTGAAACCCTGTCTCTACTGGGCGTGAGTAGAGACGTATAGGTGTGGCTGTGGCTCACACCTATAATCGCAGCTACTCAGGAGGCTAAGACAGGAGAATCACTTGAACCTGGGAGGTGGAGGTTGCAGTGAGCTAAAGTCACGCCACTGCACTCCAGCCTGGGAGACAAGAGTGAGGCTCCTTCTCAAAAAAAAAAAAAAAAAAAGAAAGAAAGAAAGAAAAAAGAAAAAGAAAAGAAAAAATTCTGAACAGCCAAAAACATGGGGTTTATTCACATTGTTTATGGGCTTATCAGGGAACTTAAAATGAGTTTTAAGAACATAATTCCAAGATTTATAATGTTGCCTTAAATAAAAGGAATGTGTATGTTTAGGAACTGCAAATGCTTTAATTGATGAATACATTTCCAGAGACATTATTTTGCTAGTCACAGGGTACAGTTTTGGTAGTTTTATTATCATTGTGGTATCTCTGTCAGAAAGAATTCAAAATTTAATTTTGTTTAAATATATCTTTTTTTAGTAAATAAAAAGGCAGTATAAAAACTACCACTGTTCAAGCCTCCTTTAATCATCACTAGACATTTTTGAAGTTGCATTCCATTCTTAAAGCATCCCAGTTCTCTTTTGTGGCATCCACCGTTTTGGCCAATAAGCAATGGAATCGAACCATGACTGACGAAAACTTCACCTGTGTTCTTCTGGCTTCAACACTAATTTTAAATCATCCTCACCCACCAGGGCCTGTCATTGGTTAATGGGCACGTGGGACATTCCCACCATCTTGCACTCAACTCTGAATTAAGTGACCAGGCAGGCAGAGGCAAATCTGCTTCAACTATCCAGTTGGTAGGTTCTTGATCTGAAGCATTCTACTGATCTCCTTACCTTCTTTTCTTTATTCCTCAATGAACAAATGAAAATCAGTAGAGTAGACCAATAGATTCCACACTCCTGATTTACCTGTTGTTGACTGTGATAAATATTGATTAGAAAACTCTGCCAAGCACCTGAAAGCTGTTTTAAAGAGCAGCAAGCACCCTCTACAGATTCAAATCATTGTTCTCTGGATCGCTTTCAAACACGTGTGGATCAGACTGACATCATGGACTTGTCATTAATCCTTGTGTTTGCAAGTTTTCATAAACCAGTTGACCTTTGGGTTTTCCATTCTGAGTAATCCTTAGCCATGACTAGGTGGATACAAACAGATGTTGAGGAAGGGATTACTTAGAGCACCTAGGACTGGGGTGTTCATTTCATAATGCAGGAGAGAACTAACTCTGCCCAATGAGATGTTTCATAGTAAGTGCCTTCATTCTACTAAATTTTCCATAATAATATCTTCTGTATTAATTCTCAAAGTACAATGTCCAATCATGTTCAAAACAATACTCCCATTTGAATTCTTAAAGTAACAAGTGTAGGAATGGGAAAAATATGGAAGTAAAATATAATTGTTAGAATTCTTGCCTCCTGGAACCATGGCCTTGGGGTAAGGGGTTTACAGTTTAAGGACAGATTCCTCAGTAGAAATGAGGAGGCCATTCCTGAGACATTGATGTAGTAAAATAAAAGTTTGGGAGTAGATTTCAAATTTTGTGCTAATTCAGACATTAAAAACCAAAAATTAATTAATTAATTAATTTAAAAAACAAAAATTGCTTTTAAAATACGATTTTAAGAACCTTAATTACATTAATTGCTTGAATATTCTAAATATGGTTTGAAAGAAGATAACTTCAGGTAGGGTTAGTTTGAAAAATCACTTTACTGCTGACTTTATTCCTTCTCTTTGAAGTGTTCAGAGCCCCAAAATGCATATAAGCAAATCTCTGAAGGTAACTTAATCTTAAGCTATTTGAACACTTCAGCGCACTAATATATGTGTAATTCCTCTTGTTATTTAAGCTGCAAATTCAGTCTAAGCAAAATAGAAGTCGTATGAACATTTAGGAATGTTCGATGAATGGAACTTCTTGTTTCTTGTTTTCTCAAGAAACTTGAGGATAAGGAAGGAGAATATACATTTTTTTCCCAATCAATAAGAAGTCCTGAATATTTGACTCTAAATTACTTTACATAATGTGACAATACATAGCTTTTTTTGAAAAACAAGGCAAGACATACTACAATAAATATCTGATCTGGTCTTTTCACAGAACTATAAAGCATTGTGAAATAATTAGGTTTTTGATGTAACGTAAAGGGATCACATTGTTTTTCGTTTCTATATCCACCCAATTTCAAGTAAGAGGTCCACTTCCTGCTCTCTGTACCCTGCAGGTTCTACCTGATTTCTCAGCCATCATTCTCCAAAAACAGCCTATCATTATGTCTTTTGAATAGCTGCTGCTATTCTAATACGTGAACTTTACTAATATGTAAAATTTACTTTCTCTCTCACACAAAAAAATGCACTTATGTCATTACATTTGTGTCAAAATTTTTTACAGCTTTGGGTGAAAGAATTCTATGAATATGCTTTTAAAAGGACATATTTAATATGCATATGAAAAGTTTTATTTAAATAATAGAATCAGAGGCACAAAGGGAAAATATCTTTTCAGAAATTGGACTGTGAGTCAGTCTCAAATAAAATCAAGTAATCTTAACTCATAAAGTCAATTTCAAAATCTCACTTCTCTGTCATATAAAAGAATGAAAAAGCCTTTGTATTTATTATAGTTGTCTTTTATACATATGTGGATCTATTTTCTTAATGGGCAAGATTCTTTTACTGACCGGCAAAGCATTAACACAGAATATTATGTTGCAGTGAATGACATGAGGTGTTGAGTTTGCATGGGTTTCTTTTCTATCCAATATATGTCAACTGCTCACAGATTAGAGGAGGAATCCTAAAACCACAATCCACCATACAGGAGAAGTGCCAAATTGGGCCGAGAATCATTTTTTTAATAGCTTTTGAATTTCATAAAGCCTTACATAATTTACCAGTCTGAATTACAGACTATCTCGTTGGCCTTCAGCTCTCTGTGGAAGATTCTGATCTACGTGACAGTGCTATTTTCATCTAAATATGAAGAGCGCAAAAGGCTTGCTTTGCCATATGCTTTTGGCTCTCCATTGTATGTGTCTATGAAACCTAGAGGTTCTAATACACGTCTAGAGTGTTAAAACGTCTTTAAAAATCAACATAACTCTCCAGATGTTTCATTTTCCAAAAAAAAATGATGGTCATTACTTATTTTTCATCAGTTATTTTTTTATTTAAAATAGCAAAGCCCGGAAGATTCACAGGCAGCTGAAATGCCTATAGCCAGTATGACAACCTCCAACAGAAAATGTGAGTACCAAGCTAAACTGTACATGTAGAAAGTTCCATAGAAAACAGTTATGTCTGTTTTCAAATAAAATGTCAAAACCATATAGATTTCGTATCAGGTAGGTAGTTTATTATGAAAAACTTTTCAATAGGATTTGTAATAAAAATGAATTCCTATTTGGCTCTCAAATTTACTACATATTCATCTCAACTTTACTCCTTCTTTTAAAAATGAAGTTTTTCTTAATTTAAACTAATTCCTTTCAGGGAAAACTTCAATTAATGTAAACACATGTGTGTTTATATCATGGCTCATTCCTAAACATATTTGTGTATGATGATTGAGGCTTTTATTTCACTATGAAGGGTAAAGATATCATTGGTTTTTCATCTTCTGTCACAGTCTACCGAAAATTCATCACAAATGTGTCTTATACTGTCATGGACATAGTGGAGTTCAAATCAGTGATCTCATTTATTCACATCTTATTCTGTAACTCATTTGTTCATTTAATTTTTAATTTAAAAAGGTTGATTTTTTTTCCCTATGACTTTTCCTTCTTCTGCATTTAATTTGTCAATGTAGGATACCACTTGATTTACCTGTGCTTATGTTTCTGAATAATTCTGGAAGATTTTTGGTTTTGTTTCTTTTGCCTGTTTTGGTTTTCATCTGTTACTCTGGAAGTTTTGCCTTATTTTTCTCCTTTATTTTACCCTTTTGTGACACAAACTTCTTACAGTTTTAAGGTTATGCATCATGATTTTACTGTAATAACTTAGCCAATAATAAAAATAGCTACCATGTATTAAACACATCTTTTATGCTAGGCACGGGTCTATGCTAATCAATTCATTCAGTTCTCCTACAACTTAATGAAATAAGAGTAAATATTATCTGAATTACACAAATGAAGAAATCAGTTATTAGAGAGGTTAAATCACTGCTCAAGGTTACATAGCTAGCCAGCCCCAGATCTGGCGAACTAAAGAAATGCTAATGTACCAACGATTTTTTTGTGATCATTCATTTATACATGCATCAATGCATTCTCTGACATTATTTTATTCATTCAATAAATGTATGAAGACCTGCCACGTTTCAGACATATTTTATGCAGTGCAGAATAAAATAAGCGTGGTCTTTATCCTTAGCTTGCGATGTCGTCAGGGATGGAAATGCTACTAAGAACAAACACTGTTAGAACAACTACTGTTCTAAATGTTTTAGATAAATTAACTCATGTAATTTATTTATTTGATTCAGAATATGGAATTACACATTTTGTCCATTTCTGCTTTCAGAAAATTGCTAGTAATATTTTTCCTTCTGAACTTTTAGTTCCAAAAGTAATTTTAGAATGCTGGGCACACAGTAGATCTGCAACAGATTTTTTCCCCCTTTGTTTTTGGTCTTGGAAGAAGGCTATGCCCAGTCAAATCAGGAGCTGAAAGAGGACGGTAGATCAGGGAGTAACGATGATCGTCTTCAAACATTCTGCAGGCCTTCTACCTACCTGCTTGCTTACTGTTGAGCTTGGCATGCAGAATGAATGGTGAACATATTCACATTACATTAGTCAACTGCCCCTTGGCTAGGGACATAGTGAATTAAGCTTCAAACATTTGATGACCTGTTTTGTGTTACCTCATCCGTGGAATTCAACTTGTGTTTCGAAAGACAAGATGCAAAAATTCAATCCATAGTCTGATTTAAATTTGAGAAAAGCACAGTGATACCACTTCCAGCCCCCACGTTTTACCATGGAGGACCTCTGATATTTCAGAAATGTGGAACTCAATGACTGCCAAGTACATGAGTAAAATATTGTAGGGAGTTCTGTAATGAGTACATTAAATTACCAGTGAATGCTTATCTTCCACTAAATGTGTGTGTGTGGAAGATATATGTGTGTATATATATGTGTGTGTGTATATGTGTGTATATATATATATGTATATATATGTATATATACAAACATATATACATACATACATACACATATATACATATATATAATCTATGTGTGTTTGTGTATATGCACACACACATACAGAGAGAGAGAGAGAGAGAGAGAGAGAGAGAGAGAGAGAGAGGAGAGAGATGGAGTCTCACTCTGTTGCCCAGGCTGGAGTGCAGTGGCACAATCTCAGCTCACTGCAACCTCCACCTCCTGAGTTCAAGCAATTCTCCTGTATCAGACTCCTGCTAAATAATGTTTAAATTCTTTTAAGAAATATGCACAGTGTGTTCTGTATGGCTTACATGCAAATATTTTTATTTGCCTGTGGCTTGTTACCTATCCACAAACTAATATTTAGACACCCATGATCAGAAATAATCAAATAATAGTAAAAATAGACCACACTGGTTTCTAGTAGAGTATAATATTGGCTAAAAACCCTCCTTTGGAATGTATACTATTAATATCAAGGCTACAGGTAGGAAATTACAAGTTTATCTGCATGTTGCAGTGATGTCAAATATATCATCTGAAGCTTTTTTAAAGTTTCCTTTCACAAAGAAGAGCTTTATCTCTGAAAATTGGCAGGAATGGTTAAATGATCTGATAGCATTATTGGACTCTGAGAGTTTCCAAGGCAATGTCAATAAGAACTCCCTGAATTTAATAATTCAGTATTTATTCTGTGTTCGTATGCTGTTGCCTGAAATCTTTCCCTTTTTAGCAAAGACTAAAATAAATTACTAAACCACAAGAAGGATGTAAATTAGTCCTACAGTGATATTTCTAAATACTCATGATTTTTAGAAGTGAAATGCACAGGCCATCTTTGGAACACAGTAAATAGGACTATCTCCTAGGTGCTAATCTGGGCTATATCTGCTATTTACTGGAGTTATTTATTTCACGGTGTGGGATATGACATGTATCAAATCATATTCCCCAAATAAGATAGCAAACTACATTGTAATGCAATCTCCCTTGTAGTCTTAGGCCATGCAACAGTTAGAAACCAGGAAGTACCCTCTTTCTATTTTTATTGAGCACAATTATTAGAATTATGTGTTCAGGCCGGGTGCAGTGGCTCAGGCCTATAATCCCAGCACTTTGGGAGGCCGAGGCGGGTGAATCATTTGAGGTCAGGAGTTTGAGACCAGCCTGGCCAACATGGTGAAAACCATCTCTACTAAAAGTGCAAAAAGATTAGCCAGGCATGGTGGCATGCACCTGTGATCCCAGCTACTTGGAAGACTGAGGCAGGAGAATTGTTTGAACCTGGGAGGTGAAGGCTGCAGTGAACTGAGATCATGCCACTGCACTCCAGGCTGGACAACAGAGCAAGACTCTGTCTCCAAAAAAAAAAAAAAAAAAAGGAATGGCCAGGTGCCATGGTTCATGCCTGTAATCCCTAATCCCAGCACTTTGGGAGGCTGAGGCAGGTGAATTACCTGAGGTCAGGAGTTCTAGACTAGCCTGACCAATATGTTGAAACCTGACTCTATTAAAAATACAAAAAAATTATCCAGGCATGGTGGCATATGTCTGTAGTTGCAACAGCTCTGGATGCTGAGACAGAATTGCTTGAACCTGGGAGGAGGAGATTGCAGCGAGCTGAGATCACGCCACTACACTCCAGCCTTGGCAGCAGAGCAAGACTCCATCTCAAAAAAAAAAAAAAAAAAAAAAAAAAAAAAAAAAAAAAAAGCATTATGCATTCATTCCATTCTAACACTAACAATAACTACTACTTACACCTGTCACAGCATATATGGAACTTAATAATGACATTTTTGACTATGACCTATGACAATGGATTAATGACTTGTTCTTATCAAATGGTCTACATAGGCAGATTACTCGCAGATAAGTACTATGCTCAAAATACTTTCTGTGTTTGTGAGTCATTCACCTCTATAATTGAGTTATACTAACATGCAATTTAGACTTTTCAGAAAAGAAATTCTGTCCATTAAAAAGCTGAACTCAATTATGATCAAAATGGTTTCATTGGCTCTCTCTTGACCAGATAATATATATTATGCAATAGAATTCCATGAAGACGGAAGCTTTTCTTTATTTTGTTCAACATCTAACTGGCCTGGTGCTGAAAGTGACCTTGCAGAAAGATTAAAACATAGAGTACTTATTCCAAAGCCGACTTTGGGGCTGGAAATGTTGGTTGTGGTTCTGTTGAAGTCACAGTGGGGAGTGATTGGGGCACTTCAGAGAAGTCATTAGCACTCATCAGAAAGGGAAAGAAAACAATCACACAGTGGCAGAAAGTACACTGCCATCGATTGACACAGAACAGTCTGACTCAAATCACAGCTTTGGGAAATGGACTCCGTTTTAATGACCTTCTGCTGGGAGGTTTGCCTTGGCCTGCTTGGTCTGCTACAACAAACTACCATAGGCTGGATGGCTTATAAACAATAAAAATTTATTTCTTATGGTTCTGGAGCCTAGAAGTCCAAGGTCAAGGTGCAAGACAAGAGCCACCTTTCTGGTTATAGATGGCGCCTTCCTGCAGCAGGAAGTAGCTGAAGGTGCAAGGGAGCTCTTTGGCATCTCTTATAAGGCTGTTAATTTCCTCCCAAAGGCCCTGCCTCCTAATATCACCACACTAGGGGAATAAGTTTGAATGTATGAATTTTGGGTGGGGCACAAACATTTAGTCTCTAGCAAGGTTCTTAAATTATTTTAAAATGCATTACAAGAGATATACGGGAAGGTCATTAGTGGTATTTTGGGAGATAATAACATGGTTTTTATTTCCTTCTATTGGCATAACTGCATAAGATGTTAAAATAATGAATGTCAGCCTGTAATTTGTCTCATGAGACCGGTTAGTAAAACAGTGACCATATGTTAAGTGTGTGAGTTATCACATCTGAATCCCTAGTCCTGACTTTTGCTGAAACAAAGTGATGTTATTTAATTAGATGGAATACAAGAATGTCAAGGGTAGGTGGGAAAGTTGGTTGGTTTTGAAGGATTTCGTGAAATATGTAGAACTCTGTTAATGTTTCTTCTATGTTTATTTGGCGCTTCAGGTAAAGCCATTAGCTTGTTAGCAATCATGATTCTGGTTGGGGACAGCCTGCATAATTTTGCAGATGGCTTAGCTATAGGAGCAGCGTTCTCATCGTCGTCTGAGTCGGGAGTGACCACCACGATTGCTATCCTGTGTCATGAAATCCCACATGAAATGGGTAAGTTAAACCGTGGAATCACTGTCTTCAGCTTATTGAGAAAGAAATTTTTCCAGCTATGGTTTGCCAGGTTTTTTTTTCTAACCTATGATTGAAAGATGAATACTTTCCTTTGATAATTTATTTAAACCATAAGGAAGAGGAGAACTAGAAAAATAACTCCTATACCTTGGAATAAAATCCAGTTAAACTCCTTTATGATGTTCCCCAGGGCCAGGAATGATTCTGTTTGGATTCCAGAGAATTCCATATGGGAGAGAGTCATTGAGAGAAATATTTTGAAGAGTTTTGACAAGGACTTTAAAATCTGCATATTAAATGTGAGAAAAATATTGGGAGGGGAACTTTACCCATCATGTCAGCAAATGGGCCAGTAATATAAAATAACATTTAAATTAAAACCGGTCAGGCACAGTGGCTCACACCTGTAATCCCAGCACTTTGGGAGGCTGAGGCAGGTGGATCATCTGAGGACAGGAGTTTGAGACCAGCCTGACCAACATGGTAAAACTTGTCTCTACTAAAAACAAAAAATTAGCCATCTGTGGGGGCCCATACCTGTAATCCCAGCTCCTTGAGAAGCTGAGGCAGGAGAATCGCTTGAACCCAGCAGGCAGAGGTTGCAGTGAGCTGAGATTGTGCCGTTGCACTCCAGCCTGGGTAACAGAGCAAGACTCCATCTGAAAACCAAAAAGCAAACCATGGTCTCATCAATCTGACTTACACAAAATGTTTAAAGCCACTGAAATGACAGGTGTGTGGTGGCAGATGCGCATGCGTCTCTTTTTCTGCATAATCTTAGATGCCCTGTAATTTTTTTCTTTTAATTTGTGTGGGTACGTAGTGGGTGTATTTATTAATGGAGTACATGAGTTGTTTTGATACAGATATGCAATCCATAGGAATCATATCATGCAAAACTAGGTATCCATCCCCTCAAGAATTTATTGTTTGTGTGAAAAACAATCCAATTATACTTTTAATTATTTTTAAATGTACAAATTAAATTATTATTGACTATAGTCACCCTGTTGTGCTATCAAATACTAGGTCTTATTCATTATATCTGTTTTTTTTTTTTTTTTTTTTTTTTTTTTTTTTTTTTTTTTTTAATGATTCACCATCTACACCTCCTCTCCTCCCTCCTCCCCACCCCGTTACCCTTCCCAGCCTCTGGTGACCATGCTATTCCCTAACTCCATGAATTCAATTGTTTCGATTTTTCGATCCTTCAAGTGAGGACAGTATAGCTGTGTAGTTTGCCCCCCAGGGCACAAGATGGTTTAGAACAGACATTTCTGAAACAGACCCAGAACGGGTAGAGGCTGGTCTGGCACAGGCTCCCGAGGGAGAGGGCTCTTTGCAGTCTCTCTGCTTCCCACTCTTACTCCTACATTGCCTCTAGGAAACTCTTGCCCTCTTGAGCTCGGAGTCTGTTGCTAAAAGTTCTGACATTGACTCACGATTGATGTATCCTTCTGGGAACAGTTTTTCCAAGGTCCTTCCTGAGCGCATTAAAGTCCACCTCATCTGAAAGCCATCCTCTGTCTATGGTCCTGCATTTTGCTACTATGACAGTGAGATGTAGTTCTCAATCCTCAACCCAAAACCACAGGGTGGTGTGACAGTCTGCAACAGGCCAGCAGAGACGTTTCAAGCCTTGTTCCTGGGACCAATTATGCAATAGAACTAGGAAACTGGGTCCCCAAGCTGTCTTTTTATTGAATTGTAGTCTCAATTCCCCTAACTAAGAAATAGATGCTCTCAGATTTACTAACAGGTGAATCTTCTCTTGAAGGAAAGGCATGGAGAGAATGAGGTTGTTTTCCTATAATTGTTTTCTAAAGGGAAAAATTTTGTTTCCACAACCAACTTTTGCAATGCTTTAAAAACCTCTTATTAAGGTAGTTTTCTCTCCCCACATCAGTTTCTGCTAAAGTAAATAAAATCCCATATAGTGTCATGATTTCACCTGGCAAATGTCCAGGTCCAAAGATTTAGAAACCCTGGGAAAGCAAGTGACTATTTTGCATTTATCTAAGTTGGAATGTCACAGGATATCAAGAACTCAAGAATGTGTCACAGATCTCTCTGTATATACAATCGTTAGGAGTAGTCAAAGGAATGGAACTCTTGAAATGCAACTTCCTAATCGTACAATGAGGTGGCTATGAATCCTAGAGAAATATAGGAAAGCATTTTATTTACTGATCACTCAACTCTACCAATAAAATTGGTTCCAGTTGCTGACATTCAACGTAGCTAATAGCATGTTACTTTAGCAAAGGCATCTTCTGTTAAATGATAATTATATTTTCCTTTCCCCTTAAACTGCAGGAGACTTTGCTGTGCTTTTAAGCTCTGGACTTTCTATTAAGACCGCCATCCTGATGAATTTTATAAGCGCTCTGACTGCCTTCATAGGGTTATACATTGGCCTTTCTGTGTCAGCTGATCCATGTGTTCAAGACTGGATCTTCACGGTCACTGCTGGGATGTTCCTATATTTATCCTTGGTTGAAATGGTAAGCTTTGTGACTTTTCTATTTGGTTTTTCTAAACACTGAAAATGTAAAACAGAGGGAAAACAAGCAGGTAAAAATGGAAGAATAAATGAGTAGAAGAGATGAATATATAAAACAACATAAGCCATTAAGGAAATATTCTTTGTAGACCAGAAAGTACATTCTAGGCAGAAAGAACGTAATTTGAGATATAGAAAACATGGCCATTTTCTGTAGTGTTAAAGTGTCAGGTATGTGATAGCAGATGCATGTAAGACTTTTCTTTTAGTCAATTTAAGAGGAAAGAATGAAATGTTGATAATCATCAAAAAGTAATCATCAGCTCATTCTATTCCAACTTTGTATCTATATGTCATGCCTGTATTTCCAGTTGAAAAATGAAAAGTTCTGTCAAACAGCCGGCTATTTTATTTATACAAAGGAAAATAATTCAGCTGAATTTGTCATTGAATTAAATCTCTGTTTGACTGAATTAACCAACCGTATTTTTAAAATAAGGATGACATCTTTAAGTTTTAATTGCCAAAGGACCATTATGCTGATGAAATGAGAAAGTAAGAAGATTTTTATAATATTTGGTCTCTAAAATTGCAACATACATTTCCTAAAGAGGTCCTTGCTTACTCTAATGATAACTCAGTCATTAGTTTTCTTTCTCTATAACCTGATGAGCTAATTGAACTTGGGAAATTTCACATTGTCTTGCTTCTTAAATTCTGGACTCCATAAGATAAAAGTCTTTTTGAAGGTCATTCTCCTTTGGGCTTATTTACAATTTTAAAAATATCTTAAGGCAAAATCATATTGATTATCCTTTCTCATGGGTTGGAATATGGCAAATTAAAATGGAATAAATTAGCAAAAGTAGTACTTAAGACTGAAATCAGATGTGTTATTACCTGCATCCTGGAGAAGAAAAAGTAAATTAATCTGGACGGTAATATGTAGAACAGATTCATTGAGATTGACTACTGAGGAAGCAGAATCCATCTATTGTCCTGGAAGTAAATGAAATGTTTTATAAGGAAAATAGTACAGGAAGCAGAAACCTGTGCTAACACAACCAGAAAGCAGTGCATTGTTGAAGTAGGTCTTAATAAGGGGATTCTCAAAGTAAACACTGCAATTTTTAAACCCCACTCTGAAGCTCCTGAGTTTCTGGTTGTTTTTCTTAATTCTTATGATATTCATGCAGATGAGGTAAACACCAAATATTCTTCCATATTTAGAAATGTTCTTATATATTATTTGTGATGCTCAGAAAACATTGTAATATTGATAGTAAAGTGAAAAGTAGAGCAAATTTCGACCCAGCAATTCCATTACTGGGGATATATCTAAAGGAATATAAATCATTCCATTATAAAGATACAAGCAGCACTATATACAATAGCAAATGCATGGAATCTATACAAATGCCCAACAGTGATAGACTGGATAAAGAAAATGTGATACATATGCACCTTAGAATACTATGCAGCCATAAAAAGGAATAAGATTGCGTCCTTTGCAGGGATATGGATGAAGCTGGAAGCCCTTACTCCTAGCAAACTAACGCAAGAACATGAAACCAAACATTGCATGTTCTTACTTGTAAGTGGGAACTGAACAATGAGAACACATGTACACTGGGAGGGGAACAATACACATTAGGGTCTGTTGGGGGAGGATGGGGATGGGGAGAGCCTTAGGGAAAAGAGTTAATGTGTGCTGGGCTTGATACCTGGGTGACGGGTTGATAGGTGCAGCGAACCACCATGGCACACGTTTATCCTGTGTAACAAACCTGCACATGTACCCGGAACTTAAAAAAATAGAATGGGATAAAATTAAGTGGAGTAAATTTTACCCCTTTTTCTGAACCTGTCTTCCAACCTGAGGTCAATGTTACAGAATCCTGAGATTCTTCCACCTTGAGAAATCTGTATTTACAGCTTTTTTTTTGTGGCTTTGAAACCACAGTCACTCAACCATTTAATGATGTGAGCCATCCTTTGTTGAAACTGAACAGTCTTGAAGGTAATTTGTGGAACTCATCAGTCCTCAGATTCACTCTTGAACTTCCTAATGTTCAACTTTCGATTTCTAACTTCTCTTTATGGGTCCAGTTTGGGGCAGTTGCTGGATTCTTTTGAAGTTTATTCTGTTTTTCACAAGAACTGGTTCTCCCTTTAAGTACGATGAATGTCATTGTCTACAGTTAATTTGTTTTCTTTGCTTTTGTCTACTCTCCCAGAATTGACCTGGGAAGGTTATCAAGAGCCATTTGTCAAGCAGAACCCTAAGCTAAATATGTCATTTTCCTTTCAATGCTCCCACTCCTTTTCTCGTAAGGGTAAGCAATTACTTATAAGAAAGCAATGTGACTGATACCCTGTGAGATTCCAACTGGCATACATCTTGACCATTGCAAATTACTATTAGCCAAGGAAAAGCCAGCATCCTGGCAGAAAGACAGGGAAGAAAAAAAAATACTTGTAAGTTTCCCGGGGCTACTTCCTATCATCCAGGTCACTTGCTCTCACGGTCTTCTGAGCAACTTCTAAATAAACGCGGCCCTTTCATATAGCAGTAAGCTTAACTGTTGCTGTTCTCTGTGTCCATGCCAAAGAAAATAGTCGGTCATTTAGAGGGAAGAAAACAAGATTGCAAGACTCTGAAATAGCAAAGAAAACAAATGCAGCATCTAAAGGGTAAAGGGGAATACTAGAGAGAATATACTAGTTATTTATTAAATCCTAGATATTTACGAGGTACCTTCTGAACAAGGTTAATGTGAAAGACTAGTTAGATCTTTGCCTTGTGTTTGTTTGTTTCAAAGATACTGGATGTGTTATTATAAAGTCCAAAAGAAACAAGAACTAGAGACATAAATGAGGCCATTAGCAATGAGGTCAGCAAAGAAGAAAGTCGTCTCCAGGGAAAAGTGCCAGCCTTAATTCTCCAAAGAATTGGCTTGTTCAAGGACACTAACTCCAAATGGCATTGAAGCATTTCTAAAGGAAGTTCAGAATGAATGCCTCTCTGGGTGGCCAGAGGAAATTAATGCTCTGTTATGAAGATCTGTGACCTAGACTGGGTTTCCCCCAAAGCAGCTGGGAAGACAAAGGGCAGGGTGAAAGCAATTCATTTGGGAGGTGATCCCAGGGAGCAGAAGTGAAGGGCTGACAAACTGAAACAGAGAAGGAAGAAAAAAAGTCAGTACCATCTGTATTTTTGTTAAGTTGACTAGGACTATGGGAACACCATCACACGGGACCTTCTGATGAGGTTCAAGAAATATGCCTCAGAATAGTTTACCTAGGAAAGGAAGAGGCTTTAGCATTCAACACCGTCCCAGCTGGCATTATCTCCCCATCTCCACTTCCAGCTTATATACACTTGAGTGCTAAGAGCATTCCTGTAAAGGGGCTCATGCCATCACATCAAGGAAGGCCAGGGCAGGAGAAGGAGGACCAGTGTGGACCAGAAGCAAGACTCTGCAAAACCAGTCAATGCCTCCTTGGAATGGGTCTCTGCAGCAGTGACTGGGGTCAGAGATGGGGCTGAGCTACATGAAATAACACACATGTGATGTCTATTAACAATTGACCCCTTCCACTCCTCAAATGCTCTCCTTTACTTTGAAGACCCATCTCTCCCCAAGTCCCTTCGTGGTGGTGGTAGCCCGCCAAAATACCACAATGACTTAATACAAAATAATAAGTGAAAGAAGTTCCAAATCCTGATGGCCCTGAGGCCATAGTTGATATTCATCATCTCTGCCCTCCAGCATCCGATCCTGATCCTCCTCAGCCCAAGCAGCACTTGGGTTGATCTACATTGTACTCCTGGTAGGGGCAACCCAGGTCTTCACTGAAGGGTCTGGATGTTCACTGCTTTGTCCTTGTTAGCATTTGTATCCTGTAGTTGCCTGGTGACCACTGTTACCAGGTGTAGAAGCACCAAGAGATGCTCCAGGAAATCTGAATTTCTAGCTGTTTCTTCTTTTCTTACCATGCAGCAGCACCCCTAACTCCTCATGGTTACAGGAAAGGGGTCCTAATCCAGACCCCATCAGAGGGTTTTTGAATCTCACGCAAGAAATAATTCAGGGCAAGTCCACACTGCAAAGCAAAAGCAAGTTTATTAAGAAAGTAAAGGAATAGAAGAATGGCTACACCATAGACAGAGCAGCCCTGAGGGCTGCTGTTTGCCCATTTTTATGGTTATTTCTTGATGATATGCTAAATAGGGGTTGGATGATTTATGCCTCCTCTTGTTAGACCACATAGGTCATGTCCTGACATTGCCATGGCATTTGTAAGCTGTCATAATGCTAGTGGGAGTGTAGCAGTGAGGATGACCAGAGGTCACTCTTGTCGCCATTTTGGTTTTGGTGGGATTTAGCCAGCTTCCTTACAGCAACCTGTCGTATCAGCAACGTCTTTATGACCTGTTTCTTGCGCTGATCTCATATCTCATCCTGTAACATAGAATGCCTTTGCTATCTGGGAATGCAACCCAGTAGGTCTCAGCCTCATGCTCTCCAGCCCTTACTCAAGATGGAGTTGCTCTTGTTCACACACCTCTGACATAGTCACTAACAATCACTCTTACCAGTATGGTAACTTTCTTCACTGTTAGCTGATCCACTAATATAGGGAACCACAGATGAGCAGGTGGTGGTGATAACTTCAAGTTTACTGGAAACTTTATTGCAGGAGTTCTCAACCCCTGGTCCTGTTAGGAAGCAGGGTGCACAGTAGGAGGTGAGCAGCAGGTGAGCAAAGTTTCATCTGTACTTACAGCCGCTCTCCATTGCTCACCTGAGCTTCACCTCCTGTCAGACCAGCGGAGGGTGTTAGTTTCTCCTGTGAACTGCGCATGTGAGGGATCTAGGTTACGCACTCCCTATGAGAATCTAATGCTGATGATTGGTCACTATCTCCCATCACCCCCAGATGGGGCTGACTAGTTGCAGGAAAGCAAGCTCAGGGCCCCCATTGATTCTATATTAT